ACAGCTTTGATATATAATTTAAACTTGAGCTAGATTATTTCTTTCCAAGCATTTGGTTTTACTCTTCTGGTAGGTTTTGTGTTTCCATTGAGATTTTGGAATGATGGAAGAAATAAGCAAACATTAAAAGTGAGATAAACCGTGAAACTCCTTGCTAGCCCTTTAAACAGAACATGACCCTCTTTCCCTGTGTTTGGATGCTGAGCTGGAGTGGGAAGTTTTGTGCTTCATTTTTTTTACCCTTATTGAAGACGCTTTGCACCTGAAAGGGCTGTGCTGGGTCAGAATGGCAGTGCTGTAACCTGGGGAAGAGAGAAAAGGTGCTGTCGGGACTGGAGGGTCTGGAAGGGTCTGGTAACGAACTGCCTGAACCTTTCCCAGCCTGAGTCTGTGCTCACAGCTAAGCCTGATTCATGCCCAGTGCATTTCTTCTGCCGTGTACAAAATGGCAGACTCTAGGCGGTTTCTAGTTTCAGAGCTCGTACTTGCCATGGAGGGGAGTTTCCCCCACCTCACCCCAGTTACTTTCCCCTAGCCCACCCTTTAATTCCTTAGCCTATTCTCCCAGGGCCACTTCTCCAGAAGGAAACCTTGGTTACCACTCTAGCCAGATAGGGACTGTGAGGCAAGCCATGATCTTGCTCCCCAGTCACCATCTCGGGAGCCTCTGGGTAATCACCTGTTCATTCTGGGGATACTCAAGTGTCAAACCTGCCTAACAGAGAGATTGACACCCAGGCTGTGCTGTCACTGGGCGAACCTCTGAGCTCTATGGGGGACAGGTAATACTCAGGATGAGTGTTCTGAAAACAATGCTCACTTGGGGTCTGTGTCTTTCACGGCATGCTCCTTGGTCTCACTTCTATTGGTATTTATGACCTGGTGTCCAGGGGTTAGAAAACAAAACAAACCGGTGCTCTTCACCATGGAGAGCTGCTGTAAGGAGTTTCCTGAGGTTCGGGCCCTGGTGGCAACGGAACACATGTGTTTACTCTCTCTGAGGTTCACACTCAGGTAATCATTCTGTTTATGACCTTTCCAGAACTTTCTAGAATCCACCTCCACTCCTACTTCATGCCAGCTCCACGGAGGAAGTTTGAGACATTCATCATTTGCTGGGGAAGTGTTTTTTCCGAACCGTAAGGGGGGGCGCCAGATGGCCTAGTAATTAGCAAGGGAGTGGGGAGCCATGACTCCCTGGCCGCTGGTGCACTTTCCCCACTCCTGGCCCAGTGAAGGAGAGAGAACGCAGAGCCAAGAAGAGACTTTGAAGTGCTTTTTAGTTTGTAGAGTTCGAAGCAGTGGTCTTCCCCCCCCCCCACCCCGGTTAGAGTTTTTGGTAGGACTATTATGATTTTAAAAATAAGAACGACAGGGCCAACTGAATCGTCGTGAATCTATGATGAAGAGGGCAGAGGACCACACCCTCCAGTTCTCTAGGGTCTGTTTCCCGAGACATGCGCAGATGTCAAAGGGTTGGTCTATTCACACTTAAACGTCACAGCCGTGATAAATAGACCAGCGGCTGGAAAAGAGGCATCCTGCTGCTGCTGCTGTATGCACACACCAACCAGTGAACACGTATAAAGACCATTTCTGTGTTGTAGACATGCACACGTGTACAAATTCATATGTGTGCTGCAGCTTTCCTAGCAGATCGAAGGGTCCTGTTTTTGAACCTTGTCTTGTTTCCCCTGGAGAGTTTGCTTAAACACACACTTCTGCTCTGTCCCCAAGTTCCTGTTTTGTGCTCTCGGGTGTGAACCAGAATTCCCATCTGAAAGTTGCCGAATGTTGCCTTAGCCACTACCGCTGATGCTGCTGCCACTGCTGACTGAGGGCCCTGCGGGAACTTTGTAAAGGGACAGCCTTCCCTGTGGCTCCCTAAGAAAACCTTCATGCAGGAGAAATGAAGCCCTGTCAGGTGCCTGAACTTGCGGGTCATCCTTGAAAGGGCATTTGGTTCCTCTAGTTATATGTCAAGGCCACAGCACATCTCCGAGTTGAAGTATAGAACTCTGTTCCAGTGTCTTTGTGAGGTGTGGACATGTAGACTGGATTGTCACCCTTCCCCCCTCAACCGTGCCCATTTCAGCTCTTTTCCTGTGCTGTGGTCATCAGACAGAAAAGCATGCACGTGTGTAAGGATAAACATCTGCCTTTCCAGTCAGGTAGCCTTCAGCGTTCAGCTAGGCTTTCACGGTCCCGCATCTGCAATATTAAGTATGTCACAAGGTATGCGGAGTGAGCTTTTCATCTCAGCTACCCTTGCCCAGTTCTGAAGTTTCGCTTTGGTTCTTTGAGGTTTCAGTTGGTTATTTAAGAGCCTCCCCCCCCCCCCACCTTTGGTTTCAGAGGGAACGCTCTACCCTCTTAGCCTCAGCCTGAGATGGGCAGTCCTTGGTTGCTTAGGTACAACTTGTGAAATCGGCTTCTGAACTTGCCCCAGCTCTGTCTAGCAGAAATGCATGGTGACTAAGGTGCAGTCACATTAAAATGCAAGCAGCAGCTCAGCAGGCGACTGTCCCGCTCTGCTTGGCAAGCACTCAGATTCCAGTCTGTGCTCAATGGTGTGAAGTTGCACCACAGCCCTCTAAGCCCTGGCTATGGGCTGAGTGCTCACAGTCAGCCAGCGCTTGTCCCTAGGATCAGAGGATTGGTGGCCCCAACTGTAGACTGGGGGCGGTGCCTATTATAGCTTTCTCTTTATACTGCTTAGACCTCATCTTAACTGACCAACCCTTTGGCCCTCCTTAGCTGCTGTTTAGCTTCCGAGAGAGATTCATGTGCATTGTCCTTTGAGATGGAATTTGATGAGCTCGCGGTAGTGTGACTGGTTCCCACGCTGAGTGTGTTTTTTGTCTCTAAGTATTGATGCGTGGCATACCTTCCGGAATATATCATGTATCTGACACTTGGGTCTGGTCAGAGCCTCTGCCCCATGTCTGAGATCACCCTAAAGCCTGGCTAACCAGATTTCACATCTTAGCAACAGTTGATCCGTTTGGCTCCAACCCTTCCACAGATCTTTCACCTGTGGCCCATCCCCTCTCTTGACTCTCCCCATGTCCTGCTGGATGCACTGTGAGGTAACATCTCACTTAAATAAAAACATCTATGTCAGTACCAAGGACTGGCCAGGGCAAGAGCAGGACCCACGGTAAAATCTTGGAGGAGAACGTGGGTAAGAGGGCATGGTTTGGAGACTGGAATAAAGCTGGGCTACTCTGGGAGCAGAAAGGCAAGCGACCTTGACTTACCCTTCACCTGGAGAACTTGACCATAGCAAGAAGGACCAACCGCAACCCTTTGCTGGCTCCTCAGCCAAACAGTTCACTTTGGTGACCCAGATGCATTTTGTGAAGTCTCCTTTTGAACTATGAAGTGGAACTGATTCTATAGGTCACTGGCATCTGTTGAATCTGCTTAAGATAATTAGATCCTTAAGAGACAGTGACCATTTCAGGTCGTAGGACAGCGTAAGAGAAATGACTTCTCATTACTCTGGTTGTGACTCATCCTGTGATTCCTGTTCTGTCCCAGTTCTCACTGCGTGGCTTAGCCAGATGTGCACAGCTGTAAGTAGAGACTGAAATGCTCATCAGGGAACCCCCTCTCTTACCTCATGACCTCTTCCTTCCCGGTAGACTTGTGGCCTTCACTAGCTGTCCCCCCCCTCCTTGTATATCTGTCTCCCTGTTTCCCTTCTTATAAGGACACCAGTTATGTCGGGCTAGGCCCTATGTTTTAACTTGATCTTCTATGGAAGACTGCATCTTCATACACAGCCATACCCCAGGCACTGGGGTTAGGATTTACATGCGTGAATTCTGGGAAAACACAGTTTAACCTACAACAAAATCCCTATTGAAATGACCTGTTAAAGATGTGGGCTTCTGTTTATTACTCAATGATGTTCACGTGTGTAAATTTAGGTGGTTTTTTTTTTTTACGTGTGTGTGTGTTTGTGTGTGTGTGTGTGTGTGTGTGTGTGTATACACCACTGTGCATTTGTGAAAATTAGAGGTAACTTGTGGGAGTCATTTTCCCCCCTCCACCATGTGGGTCCCAGTGAACAGACTTTGGTTTTCAGGGTAGGTGGAAGTGCCTTTCCCCTTGCACCACCTCACTAGCCTATAAATTGACTTTTCAGCTCAAGCTAGTGATGATCTTTTTGAGAGGGGTGTCTACACAAGGTCACTGCCTAGCTGCCTGAAGGCCTTTGACCTGTCTATGGGCTTTCGCCGAGGTGTGTGAGTGCTCCGAATCTTTCAATACTCGCACTGAGCTCAGCTCCATAGGGTTTAGAGACCTTGTTTTGCTTGATCAGTCCAAAGTCAGTTCTTTTGTGCTCTCCAGTCCCCGTATGCTGCTGCCTATGTATGCGCCCCTCCCCAGGGAAAACGCGGACCCATTTTAATAATTCAATATAAGCCGAACTCTGCTTATCTACTTGTTTGGGAACACTAGCCTGCAGTGTGTGTGCAGGCTGGCTCTTTCCCAATTCCCCTGTTGAGATGACTTAGCACTTTGAGATAACCAGTTAAATCATGGAGATAACACTGCCCCTCAGGTGTTTCAGCGCCTGCCTTGCTGGCAAATGCTGAAGGTTTCTGTGCTCACAGCAGGCGTGACACCTTGGATCTACATAATAGATCTACCTGTGTGTTGTCCCGAGGCTTTCTGGAAGTAGAATGTTCAGTGGGCTTGGCCAAGGATGGAATGCGTAGGGCATTCATTCCTGTCGTTTTTTTTGTTTGTTTGTTTTAATCTACCTAACTTATCAGTTAAACAGATTTCTTGTGTGTAATGTTGTTCCTTCACTCGGAAAGAAAAATATTCCTACAATGAGAGAGTTCACCCAGAGATGGTGGCCTATGTGATTTTTAAAATGTCTGTTTATCTTGAAGTAATTTGTTTAAGGAGAGCAGCTGTGCATTAATTAATTAAAGTTAATTAATTAATTGATTGATTAAAATACATCTCCTATCTCTTCGCAGGGATCTTCGGTTCAACAGAATCAGAGAGATCCAACCTGGGGCATTCAGGAAGCTGAGGAACTTGAACACACTGTAAGTGAGAAGATCTAGTGGGGAGCTAGAGAGAGAAAAAAGAAAGATGGTTGTACTGTGTATCTGTAGGCAGATGTCAGTGCTGTGGCCGTCCTCTGATTGCCACAGTTGGAGGGGATGGATGGTAGAAGCCAGGATAGTGGAGACCTTTTTGCCTTTTGCATGTAGACCAGCGTACCTAGACCTCCTGTAGGACTCATCTCCACTTCACACCTCCCTCCGCTACCTGGGCTGGCCTCGGTGGGACTCACTCCCACTTCACACCTCCCTCAGCTGCCTGGGTTTTCTCAGCTGGACTCATTCCTACTTCACACCTGCCTCAGCTGCCTGGACTGGCCCCAGTGGGACACACTCCCACTTCACACCTTCCTGGGCTGCCTGGGTTGGCCTCGGTGGGACTCACTCCCACTTCTTCACACCTTTCTCTGCTGCCTGGGTTGGCTTTAGTGGGACTCACTCCCACTTCACACCTCCCTCGGCTGCCTCAGTTGGCCTCGCAGGTGGGCACTTGCCTTCATCTCTCCTCTGTCTGACTGAGGAGGACCGTCATCTCCTGAGCTCAGCCTGGCCATAGACAAGGCTTTGGAGCCACTGAGTTACACCATCGAGCTTTGATCCTAGGGGAGTGGAAATAAGGAACCAAGTCCTGAGGGCAGAGTGAGAGGGAGGTGGCTCTGCCCAGCTCCTCATCCTGTGGAAGAATGGCAAACCTCGGAGACAAACATCCTACTCAGTGTGGTAAAATGGTAGTCCTTAGTCCTGCCAGATCAGAGACACGGAAAGGTGACTGTGGAAAGATGCATCTTCCTGTGTCTAGTGAAGAGGGTTTACCTCTTTAATGTATATGACCATGGCAGAGAGAGGTAATCTGGTAACCATAGTAACTCAAGATGGTTCCCGAGCTGGGATTTAATGACCGCTGGCAGTAAGGTCTATATTTTATCATTTTCTGACCCTTTCAAGGCTACAGAAATGATTTTCCCTAGTATAATTTGGAAACGTTTTTGACTGTTTTATAAACATCTCTTGGCATTTTCTTCCACAGGCTTCTCAACAATAACCAGATCAAGAGGATTCCCAGTGGTGCCTTTGAGGACCTGGAGAACTTAAAATACCTGTAAGTTGTGGGGCAGCCTCAGGCCTGCAAACATGTGCTGTCTGCCTTTAGAGTATTTAATGTAGAAGCAAGGCTTGTCCTGTCTGTGGATTACTGTAAAGACACCGTCCCACGTGGTTTCAGTTTTAGGTGAGTGAGATTCTACAACATGTTGTCGTCTGTATAAGTGATAGGTGACGTGGGCTGAGTGACATGCACCTAGGTACTGCCTTTGGCAGCTGTGGGCCGGGCACTATGACTTTCCAGGGTGGGCGGGGCAGTGCGCACAGCTTGCTTGGGCAGACACAGCCTCCCGGGGTATATGCACAGAGAAATGCGTGCTGTGGCTAGTGAGGTCTCAGCTGCTTTTCCAACTGTAGGTGGGTTCTGACTGTGAAGTGCTAATTCCTCTGGAGTGTCACTAATTTCTGGTAATGTTTTCATCTTCTTGATTTTTGCCTCTTTTGGTTTTTATCTAGTGAAGTGTTTTTTATTTGAATATTTACTTTCATGGTTCGGATCATCTCTTACTTGTTGAAGTCAGCTCTGAGAAGTTTAGAAAATCGTTACTCTTTAAAAACATGTTTAAATGCCAGGAGTGTTGTTTATGAGTCTAACACTTGAGGACCCCCTCAAGTTTAAGGTTAGCCTGGGGTCCTGTCTTGTACCAGCTTAGTACCCTGCCTAGGTGCTTAGTGTAAATGTGAAGGATTGATGTAGCATGAGGGCCAACATGGTGTCCTATGGGTTGTGCCCAGAATAAGAATGATTCTTTTAGGACCTTGGCTGACTTCCCAAAGTGAGCCATTTTGTCAGTTATTTTTGTTAGGGAAATCCATACCATGATGCATGGAAACACCTTGAATTTGAGCTGATTTTTTAACAAACAGAGTAGTTTTTTTTGTTTTGTTTTTCCAGTGTTGATATGTATTGGAAATCGGTCTTGACCTGAGATGCCAGGGGACCTCCCTTCAGCTCTGTTTACTGGAATACATTTTCCTCAGTGCCAGTGTTGTTTGCAAACCCTGCCCTCAGTTCCTCTGGCATAGACACTCTTGAGGCTGATGCTTGCAGCCAGGATGGCAGGCTTCTGCTCCCGACCTTTGCTGTTGACCTCCTTGTTGTTGCCGTCCAAGTTCTACCAGGGAGGATTGATTTCCTGGAAAGTGGAGTCAGCTGATGCCAGCATTGCTGTGCATGCGCCTGTATTTTTAACCGTTTTATGCTTCATTTTATTTTTCCTTCTGAAAATACACACAGTCTCAGGAAGTTTGGGGTACTGTCTTCCACAACGTGCTAGCCTTACCCTTTGGCTGTTTCCCTTCCAAACAACCATACACTGGCTTCTCTCCCTCCCATAGCTTAGAGTGGGGTCAGGACAGTAGGTCTCCATAGAGACCATTACACCAGGTCACACCCGGAGACAGGCTGCCAAGACTGGAGCCTAATGCCTCTTGCAGCTTGCTTTGTGTAGGTCCCTGCTGGCTTTGTCCTCCAGTTCCCTGGGATCACATTGGGAGAGCATATTGAACATCACTATCATAATAGTATTTTACATGTTTAAGAAGATGTCTAGGGGCTGAAGAGACAGCTCAGCAGTTAAGAACACTGGTCGCTCATCTAGAGGACCCAAGTTCAAGTCCCAGAACCCACATGGCAGCTCACAAATGTCTATAACTCCAGTTCGAGAGATTCTGACACCCTCACACAAGGCATGCATGCAGGCAAAACACCAACACACATCAAATAAATAAATAAATAAATAAATAAATAAATATTTTTAAAAAGACAAAAGATTATGTCTAAATTTTATTATCTCAGCCTTGTGGATTTTTGGTTTTTTTTTTTTAACTTTGTGTAGTCCTTATTTTCTGGACTAATATTACTTCTATTCAGGCACTGGCCACCTGCTTCATTTCTTTATTTCCCAGTGATGAGATGGGTGCTTGAGACAAAGGGCCCGGTACAAGGATCAAGCATAAAATAAAAAATTACAACGAATTATTAGAACATCAACTTTTTTTTTATTCTTAAGGAAATGCATTGTGTTCTGGTGTCTTTTTGTTTTTAAATGTCTTTTTTTTTGTGGTACTGGGCATAGAATCCAGAGATTTGCCCCTCTACCTTTGAGCTGTACCCCCAGTACCACTAGCGTCTTTATAAACACATACTTTCATATATATTAGTTGGACTTAATTATTTACACACCCCTCAGAAGGACTCTGCATTAGAAGAAGGCAAAATTCTTTGGTGTTTTGCTCTAAGAAGTGGACACAGGAGGCTGTGGTAACTCAGGCCGAAGAAGTGGACATGTACCAGGAAGTTCCTAAAACCCTTGTGCATAGTTATTTAGCTCAGTGATTCTGTCCATTCAAGAAACTGGGGTGCAGAAAGGTTGAGTTTTTACTATAGGTGCATGGTTTCAAAGAGCCTGGAGGACCAATTTCTGATAGGCTTTTGTTGTAGGTGCTGGGCTATTGTTGGGGACAGGCAGGTCCTGGGTGGTTAGTGCTAAAGGTTATGGTTCTTTGGTGGGGGCCACTTTAGTGATTCTCACAGAGAGAAGGGGGAGACCCTTTGAGAATGACCAGTCCCATGAAGTGGGTTCCTGGACATGTTGTACCCCAAGAATTAAGAATGCTGTTAACAACATTAAGAACAAAGAATGCTGTCTGTTTTTTTATTTTATTTCCCTTTTTCTCATACATCTTTTTGTTTGTTGCTACCCATATTTTTCAGTTTTTATTTTCTATGTTTATTAATGTTAGCTCACAAAGGGCTGGATTTTATTATGGCATCTTCATACACAGGTGTCATGACGCTTTCTCATTTGTTCCTAGACTCCATTGCCCTCAGTGTGCCTTCTCTCCCACTGGCTTCCTCCTTCCCTCAACCCCAACTTCTGCTCTGTCCTGACCAATATTCATTACCCCCTCTGCTTCCCACTCTGCTTCCATAATATCCTTTTTAATTTTATCATACCATACGCACGTGTGCGTGCACACACACACGAACACTCTTGATGTGTGTTCATGGAAACTCTCTGAACACAGTAGTAATAGTAGATACTGAGCCATCAGCTTGAAGTGTTAATTTCTCCTGGCAGGGAGTTTGCCTTTGACTTGACCTCTACCTGAGTCACAAGTGAGGACAAACCATTTATACTAAAGGACTTGGTAGACCCACCAATCCCAGAGGGCAGGGGAATGATCTCTAACTCAAAGTGCCCTCCAGAGCCACCAGGGTGGCTGCTGAGGGACAGTGCAAGCTTGGCTTGTTCACATGTTGAGAAGTCACACTGAGGTAGCTCCAGCACACATGCTGGGTGGCTCCTTCCGGAACTGTGGCACTTCACAGTGGCAATCCTTGCCTATGCTGAGTCAGGTTGGGGTTTCTCTGCAGATGATCAGGTCACCCTTCATGCAGAACAAAGGCGAAGGAACCTATGGAAGGATAATTGTATCCTGCTCCCATGGACTATTGAAGGACCCTGAGTTAGGAACGTCACGCAATGCTCCTGTTAGCATGAAATACAATTGTTTGTTTTAATTTCGACCATTTAGAAATGTAAAGTCCCTTCTTAGATTATAGGCCAATCCAAACAGACTCTGTAGCACACATGACTCTTGGGAAGGAGTCATCTGCTGTAGAAGAATGGGCTCTGGGTGGGAGAGGGATTCAAGACACCTTCAGACTCTCTGTTTTTCCAGAGCTGTGCTGGTGTTTCTATTTCGTTTGAAAGCGCTGGCTGTGATCTTACAGTCAATGCCTTGGCTTGTGTAGAGAAAGCATTTTATCTTCCCAGGCTTGGAAGCAGCTGTCAGGACCTCAGTAGACACATAGGAGACTCTGTGGACCCCCTTGCTCTTGATCCTTGAAGTGTAAGAGACGTTGGCTATTGAGAGTGGCCTGGCACCCGCAGTGCAATGTCTTGTGTGTGCCCTCCTGCAGTCGTTGATTTTAAACTGTTCTCCCTGTGTCCGCTCAGTTCCTCCCCCTGGAGGTGAGCGCTCATGTGTATGCTAATACTCCTCCATGTTTCTTGTTTCAGCTATTTGTACAAGAATGAGATCCAGTCAATTGACAGGCAAGCATTTAAGGGACTTGCCTCTCTAGAGCAACTGTAAGTGTCCCCTTCCTGCCACCTGCCTTCCTGCCCCCCGTAGGGACAGATGACTGATTGCATGATGCATGTCTGTACTTCCCGGGGTGCAGGGAGGATGTGCATGACGAGGAGAAGCAGCAGTGGGCGTTTTTCACCCACCTTGCTACCCTGCGCCCACCCGAGAGCAGACATTGCTGTGTTTCACCTCTGCACCAGAGCCTGGCCCTGCGTTCGCCATTTGCAGGAACAGGAACATAACTTGCTTTCCTGTCTAACAGTAAGAAATTTGGTGTTCACGTGGTGGTGGAAACACAGACATGCAAACAAGCCTGGGCTAGATTCTGTTGTGGTAGGTGTGTCCAGCAGGGGACAGGATCTGTGTTCAGAGCCATGTGCGGTTTCGACCATGGTGCCATTCTTTTGGAGAACACATGCCTTACCCCCTTGTAGGTGCTGAGTGTGCCAAAGTGCCCTCTGTTTCCTAAGCCGCATATGAACTTGCACTTTGTTATAAAATAAGTCATTGTGCTTTATCTGCATGAGGTTCCAGTAAAGTTGCAAAGAATTTTCTGGTTTATGTGTCTGGCTAGCGACCTTCCACTCAATAAGCTGAGGCAATCCTAGTGGGATTTCAGGCTATCTTGGCTTTACAATGTCATGGACAGAAAACAGCTGTTAGATGTACTGAAGGAGTAGCCTTGCACTCTAGTCCTGTGCCTGTTCCCATGTTATCCTGGAGGGCCAGCGTAGCTGGGTCAGGGCAGCAGCAGGCAGGGCCACATCGTACACCTCTATCCACAAAGGAGCTTAATTTGTCAGTAGGCAGGTCTAGGAGCCTAGGGAGGGGCACACGCGTGTTCAGAAGAGGTTATTTGGAAGGTCTTGCGTAAATTTCTTCAGACAGATGAAATAAGAAATCCAGGTTTATTGCAAAAACTTGGAAATCTGGAGACCTGACTCCTGTGGGCGTTTACAAAGGGGTACATTCTGTTTTCACGAAGTCATCCTGGTACTTAGTTGGCAGCGAGTCCAGGGACAGAACCCAGCCAGGGGGAATAAAGAGCAAACGGGTTTGAGTGGCTTCCATGAAGTAGCCAGTGAGGCTTTCTGGTGACAGAGAGCAGCCTCCTGAGTCAGCAAGGGTTTTACAAAACCCCATACTAGGGGAGGCAGGTTGCTGCTGCTGGGGTTCGGCTTTCTTTCTGAGAACCGAGTGTTGTAGTGGACTTGGGGACAAAGGACCCCTTGCAGGCGTGGCCAGGCTCTGTCTGAGGTCTGTGTGGAGTCTGACTGGGAAGAGAATGCCTGCTGGCTCTACCTGACTCTTCCCTTGCATGCAGAAATTGCAGGTTTTAGCCACTCAGCAGGGACAGTGGGAACCGTGAAGCTGGGGAAGCCTGGGTGGAGAGCCCTGTGGCAGTGCTGGGATCCGCTGTGCATTTTCAAATCGGTCCTCAGGAGACCCTCATCATCCTCTCAGTGCCACACACTGATTCAGCAATGGTGCTCCGTTTCCACGAGGAGTCTCTCCCTGTCCTCCATTTTCTCAGCCATACAGTGAAGGCTGATGGGGCCCAGATTCTACCTGGAGCCTCAGCAGTCCAGAGGTTTGCAAACTCTGAAAACCACTGTCCCTGGTGCTTCTTAGGGCAGGATGTCTGAGGCCCACCTGTCCACACTTCATGCAGGATAAAGGGCTTTGAACACAAACCGTGCTACCTGCCTTGGGAGTCTCAAATATCCCACTTTTGTTTCCGCTTGTTCTTCCAGCTTAGCTCAGGACTCACAGGTTCAACCAGAGACTCCTCAGCAGCTCCCCAGTGTTGGCGGTACATGTGAGCCCCTGGAGCATGGGGACTATAAGGAATTGGTCACAGCTTCCTAGCACACACCAGGCACACATAATGGGGACTGAGGATTTCTCTTTGGTCCTGCCTCCTTTGGTATTCTTGGATCAGACTCAGTGCTGGAGCAATCACTGACCTCAATGTCCTTTCTCTTTCTTGTCTTGCAAACACATTGTCACATGGGAGTGAGGGGTACACTCCTGCACTCGAGGAGGGTCAGGTCCCAAGGAAGGAGAGGCAGACTGTAGACTGTGGCCCCCAGAGTTTAGGAGTCTCTGGATTAGTTATGCCTGGGGAGTGACCAGGGAAAAAAACTCATCTGGGAACCCAGAAGTCATGCTAATCTTGGAGCTAATAAAAATGAGTTCGGAAAACAAGGCTTTATGTGTAGTTGTGGTGAACTAGGCTGCATGTTGGCTCCGCTGCTTGTTTCTGTCTCTGGCCCTTGGTTGACCGGAAGTGTCTGTTACCATGGCTACCTGCGTGAAGGCTTTTCTCTAGGGCAATGAAGTCTGGGTAGGAAAGATGACCAATGTTTTATTGAGCAAAAAAAAAGTCCCACCAACTTTCAAAATGAGCAAACTAGCATTCGGGAGAATGGAATTGTAAATTGTTTGAACTAAGGAGACATCTTAAATACAAAGGCGTATGGACTCTGGGTATTCTGTATGACCAAGAACCCCGGGGAAGTCCACCACTTCATCATCTCCTGCCTGGGTGCCTGGTTCTATAACTGCTGTGTTCTCAATGTCACGTGGAAACATTGACCGCTTAGAGCGTAGGAGTCCTGTGCACGCCCATGGACAGGGTTCCTGTCTGCTAGGCTGCTTTTGGTTCTTCCTTGTTACCTGCCGCTGGGTATTTTATGGATTAATGTGAAGTGGCTGGGCCGCTATCCCTACCACTTGAGTTCATGGAGACCCAGGGCTTGCTAAGTCCTCAGGTGTCACCTGTGAGTCAAACGACTCTAAGACAGCCTGCCTGCTCTCACCTGTGTCTTCCTGTCTCCACACCTGTACAGAGCACAGGGCAGTGTACCTAGTGACATGTGGATGTGTGGAAAAAAGTGTCGGAACCAAAAGTCTGGGTTGTAAAGTTCGGTAGATCGTTCACATTGTGCTGCTTTTTCAACCCCCTAGGTACCTACACTTCAATCAGATAGAAACTCTGGACCCGGAATCCTTCCAGCACCTGCCGAAGCTGGAGAGATTGTGAGTTCAGCTTCTCTCTTTAATTTGTAGTCGGGGCCCAGCTCATGCTGCCGGAACGGTCAACGTTTGCTTGACACTCCTTGGTCGAAAATTGGTCTCTTGGCTAATAATGAGAAGTAGGCATCTGGGCCTGGTAATAAAATAGGAAAGAGATCCAGTTATTTTGTGACCTGCAGCACATAGCTATCAAATTCACTCACACTAAGTAAACACAATCAGTAAGACATGTGGCCTCTCGGGCTTCTTTTTGCATGCTTAGGAAGTTTTGTGTGTGTTTGTTTCTCATATAGCCTTGTTCTGTTTTCTCTTTCCACAGATTTTTACACAACAACCGTATCACACACTTGGTTCCTGGGACGTTCAGCCACTTGGAGTCCATGAAAAGACTGTGAGTGTGCTTCTGGGTGTCTGCTGCCCGCGGTGTCTGTGGGGCATCCTCTCTCCTAGTTCATTCATCTGGACCGTTCTCTGATCTGACCAAAGAATCTCCAGCTTCAGAAAAGTCTTCAGAGACATCTAAATGCCGGGAAGGCAGGCCTGTTGAGTCTGTTTCGGTGTGAAGAGGCGGGCAGATGACTCACGTGTACCAGCAGACTGGTCCGCTAATAAGGATCTTGAGACAGTGTTTAAAATGACGTTTAAATTCCCCCAATTAAGTTTTAATTGCAAGGTACATATTTTATGGGTGAGGGTGACAGAGTGGAAGCATCTTCATGTGTCGGCCTCCAGTTCCTTTTCTTGAAATCCGTTTACCTGAGTAAACAGACTGGTGCCTACTCGGCTTTCTTTTAAGGCCTCCTGAAATCAGCTTTGCATACGTGTTATTGTAATAGATTCAAGGTATTTTAGTACTCATGGAGTTTTTTAACAGCCTTGGTTGTTGTCCTGTGGTCTCTATAGAGCACTTGCCCAGTTGAGGTGTTACCGAACTGCGCAGTGTCTATAATGGGCTCCAGTGCTCATGACTTCATCTCTGCATAAGCTGTTGCATTATCATCCATGAGACCAAACCTCTTTCTTCGGAAAAGAAATTACCAGGCAAGGTGAATCTACATTTGGGGTAGGAAGATAGGACAAATACTCTTATCTCTGGTGGATGTGGGGAGGGGAGGAAGACGTTGTCAGATAAATGTTAGGAGGGCCCAAGGCAAAGGACGGGGTAACCCATGGACTAGCTTGCATATGGATGTCCCCGTGGGCAGCTGCTCTTTTAGAGGAATGCCAGCCCTTCCAACCCAAGACATTCCTTATCTTGCTGGCTCTGGATTGCTCAAACATGAACATCCTAGATTTGGAGATCAAGACTAAGCTCATAAGAGTTGGCCTATGCCCTCACTGAAAGGTCCACTTCCAAGGAGCAGTCAAGATGGTATGTGACCTTCTTCTAGCTCACTCAAATGGCTGGGGTAGACTGGGCACGTGTGCCATGCTGAATTGCCCATCCAGACTTCCTGCTGCTGCCCTTGGTCCTGTAATGACTGTAGGGTCTTGCTATTCAGAAGTGAATTACAGACTGGGTACCCCAATAAGCGACAGCTCTTGTCCAACCCAGTGCCCATTTCTTACCTGAGCTTGGGGTGATGCATCTTGTTTGCCATATTTCTGCCAGGGATATTGATCTGTGGAGTGGTACCAGCTCTGGGTCTCTGTCTCCTCTGAACTAATGCCTGGACAAATGTGAAATAAGCATTTGTCTTGCCCCAAGGTACCAGGTTGTGGAGTGTGTACCTTGTAGTGGTTTTATCCAGAATCCAATCCTCTGATTGATCATGCTCCCCAGCTAGTTCCTATCCCTCTTAGGGTGGGAATGGCTTGCCTCTTTACATCTGATAATATTCAGACCGTGTGCCTCATGGCCTATCAGGTCCCCACCTGAACCCCAAAGGCCTTGCCTTTGGGTGGAGCAGTTTTCAAAATGAGGGATCCTGCCAGCTCCAGCTACAGAGGCAGAGTGTCCTCACAGTGCTGCTACCCTGGAGCTGCCTCAGCCACAAGATAGAACTCTGCTGTTTAATGCTCCCATAAGCTGCTCTGGAGCATCGCTGTGATCTGTCATTGACTTGTCTGACTCATGCTTGCCATGTCTTTTAGTTTGTTTGTTTTGCTTTTGCTGTGTTTGGATTGAACCTAGGGCCTCCAACAAGGCACGCAAATGTTCTACTACTGGGTTAGATCCACAGCCATTCCTGGGCTTGAAGCTAACTGTTTGGTCACTGGTTGACTTGACTTCTTCACTTCTCCTCAGGGCTTTAGACTCTCAGGCTTTTCTGTAAATACTTACCCATTACCACCCCTCTCAGCCCTTCAGATTCTTCCCTATGAAAACTTATTCCTTGCATGATCAATGCCCAGATGTTCGTCATCTTTGGCGTCCCTTGAGGCTCCAGACTCTGGTGGTTGATCTACCCAGGATGGGTCAAAGTCTCCTTATCTCCTGAATATCTTCATGACTTCTTTCCCTAGGCGATTGGACTCAAATGCGCTTCACTGTGACTGTGAAATACTGTGGTTGGCAGATCTGCTGAAGACCTACGCCCAGTCTGGGAACGCGCAGGCAGCAGCCACCTGCGAGTATCCAAGACGCATCCAAGGACGCTCTGTGGCTACCATCACTCCAGAAGAGCTGAACTGTGGTGAGTGGGTCCTGGAATCCCTGCTGAAGGACCAGTATGACCCCCGGAGTCCAGACATATCCCCAGTTGATATTGCTGATGGACTGACTTGTCTTCTGTCATAGAAGGCTAAAATTTGAGAAAGATAGCATATTGTTTTTGCAGGGGTGTCTGGGTTGAGATGGGTATTTGGGCCTTGCGGTATCATCTGGCCATGAGGATTCTGATTTGGGTTCCCGTCTGTGTGAGCCTTATGTTTCTCCATGGCATTCATTTCTTGCATGTAGAACGGCCCCGGATCACGTCAGAGCCACAGGACGCAGATGTCACATCAGGGAACACAGTGTACTTTACCTGCAGGGCTGAGGGAAACCCCAAACCTGAGATCATCTGGCTTCGAAACAAGTGAGTTCTGTCTAGCGTAGAAATGTCCCTGAAGCCCCAGGGGCCGCATCAGGAGCCCATGTACTCCCATAGGACTCCCCATCCTTGATAGACACCTTCCCCTTCTATGTAGGAAGATGGAGAGGAAGGAAAGATTCCATACCTCCTCTCTTCCACATAGCAGCTGCCTGGAAGACACTTTTGAGCCTGAGTTACTGGGAGAAGGCCTTTCTTCCCCACTGGGACTCATTCCTTGTAGGCCACAGGTCTCTTTCCCCTGGTCTATCACTGACCTGGCAGCATTCTGGAACTTTCTTACCCCATCAAGTGGGAGCTGGGGAGATGCTGTATGTTTACTCATGCCCAGGCCTCTAGTGTTTCAAGATTTAGTAAGGTTTTGGATCTGAGCCATGATGATGGACTTCCTGGGGTTAGAGGCAGCTGATGTCATTGGTCTATTTCTTCTTTGAGACCTGAGTTTGCGAGCTATGAGGAGTCTACACAGCCCCCTTTGAACTTCTGGAGCCTTGTCCTGAGTAAATGAGCTTTTCTTTGTTCTGCAAACATGGCTGTGACTGCCTCTCGCCTTGTAGTGGTTGTTCATAAACAACAGAAGAGGTTGTCTGCATGCTGGTACTCGGGCCCAGCTGTGGGAGCATCCCTCCAGCTGGATCTGAGAGCTGGGTGTTGGGTTCAGTGTGGGAGGGGAGCGGGCACAGAGTGTAGGGGAGAGGGGTCGGAGCAGGCACTACTGATTATGATATAGGCTAGACCCAGTCTAGAATAAGGTCAAGATGCCTAGGGCTAGGACTTGTCTGTGGTGACATGAAGCATTTTTTGACTTAGGTTTTGAAGGTGAAATCCTTAGAGGGAAATCCTGAACACAAAAGCCTCATGTAATTGCCTCTTACATCCATTTGTGCCAAGAGTGAAGACGGCACTCATGGTCTGGCTTGCAGTGTGTTCATGCCAAACTCACTGGCTGTGTCCAGCCTTTGGGAAGCAGAGAGGCCTCCTTGAGAACATCACTAGCCGAGTTTAGGAACAGAAGGTTCAGACACTGACTGCCAAGTTATCCTTGTTCCAGCGGAGACCCAGATTCCACAGCCAACAGGAACCTCTCTTAGGTAAAGTTCTGTTGACAGACGAAGCAAATAGGAAAGTGGACCCCTCAACGTTTGAGAGTATTCGGGGGGCACAGTGAAAAGATGCAACGGAGTCGTGAGGATCACAGGATTGTGCCAGGTTTTGAATTGGTCACATTGATCTTGGATCCAACCTGTATGGGTGGGGGTGGAGGGGGAATGTGAGAGACGTTCATCCTTTAAAAACCTCCATGTCATGGGTGGCTCTGGGCTAATGGGAGTGAAAATCCAGGGCCAACTCCAGGAGGGTTACTAAAGTGTTAGAATGTTGACAGAGTTTTCTGTCCTGCCCGGTTCCCACAGCTCTTATGTCCCAAAGAAAAATCACAGAGGTCTACATTAGTTATAAACTGATTGGCTCATTAGCTCAGGCTTCTTATTAACGCTTGTAAATTACATTAGCCCATTATTCTCATCTGTGTTAGCCACATGGCTCAGTACCTTTTTCAGTGGGGCAGGTCACATCTTGCTTCTTCTGTGTCTGGACAGGACTCCAGAGGTAGCTTCCTTCTTCCCAGAATTCTCCTGTTCTCATTGACCTGCCTCTACTCCCTATCTGGTTGTCCCACCTATACTTCCTGCCTGGATACTGGCCAATCAGCATTTATTTAAAATATAATTGACAGAATATAGACAATTGTGCCGCACCATTAGAAGATTTTGTGTTAGACCGGGGAGGAGCATCAGTATGGCTCAAGCCCTTCATACCTTTAGTTTGTAAATGGAAGATGTGATGCTTATGTTAAAAATACAAAACTAAACATGGCAAGACCTTGAGTCAGAGTCCCAAGGCCTGCCCTCTGGTGCCGGCTCTGGTGCCAGCTCTGCTTGCTGCTTACTGACTGAGGTTCCCTGGCATTCCTGCTGCTGATCCACACGCACTCGGGGGTTGTTGCCTCCCAGGAGACCGAGTCAGAAGCATGCCCAGATGAAGGAGCTAAGAGAGGAGCCCCGGAGGTGGTTTCATTTGTTGGAGACAGAATTTTGTGCCTCTCTGGTTGGGTTCTAACTTGCTATGTAGTGGAGGACAACCTTGAAGTTCTGATCCTTCTGCCTCTACCTCTCAAGTACTAAGATTATAGGTATGGGAGTAATACCTAGCTTCTTGCTTTTAATTATATAAAACTATGTTTTTACATTTTTTTTTAAAAAAAATCACAAAATAAGGGAAATGTTTTATTTGCATTCTCCATTAGGTTAATGTTTTTCTTGTTTGGAATTAGGACCACATTCAAGCATTTAGACTGGGCATGTAATAGTGAACACATACGTGTCCTTTCCTAGACATGACTGCTAAGTCACAGTTGCTGACGGGGACATATCTGGACGGTCGTCACTCTTGTTCTCTGGGCCTGGCATGTGTCACCTGCTTTCCAGAGCTTTAGAGCCCACTGTAGGGCTGGGAGGGGTACGGTATCTGCTTGAGCCGTGAGCACACCGGTTTCTGTCTCCATAGTAATGAGCTGAGCATGAAGACAGATTCACGCTTAAACTTACTGGACGATGGCACGCTGATGATCCAGAACACACAAGAGGCAGATGAGGGCGTCTACCAGTGCATGGCAAAAAATGTGGCTGGCGAGGCGAAAACCCACGAAGTGACCCTCAGGTACTTGGGGTCTCCAGGTGAGTGAGTATGTGAGGGCCACCCTAACCACCCACTTCTTGCTCCTTTCTTTGCACTCCGACTCAGTGAAGTCTGAAATGGCAAAGTTCCCATGCCAAGTGGCTCACAGGATTCCTGAAACGTAAGGTCATGGGTCATTCTAACTTGCCTCAGACCCATGGCTGCCCCCTGCTGCAGGGGCATCCCCAGAAGCTCTGATTTACTACCACAGGTAAGACATGGCCATGGAACCTGGAGAGGCTGGCCGTGCCTCACTGCAGGTCCCTGCACAGCCACATCAAATGCATGGGGCACTGAGGCCTGTTTGCCAATGGCTTTAATTAGTTCAAAGGCATTTTTAAAATACTGATTTTTATTTAGCATACCTATTCTGAAGGTGCTTGAATATGATATTTAAAGTGTAAGATGTCTGTCCAAACCAGAGGAAGCACAGCTGTGCCCTTTCCACCTCTGCTACACAGGCACGGGCCCTCTTCTGGTCTGCGTGCTCTGTCCTTGGCCTCTGCTCACTGTGGAGCCAGACACTGGAACACTATAACCCAGCAGTTCTCAACCTATGGGTCACAATCTCTTTGGGATCATTTTTGTTTGTTTGTTTTCACTTTTTGGTTTTTTTATTTTAAAGAAAAGCAGCATAGAACATAATCTATTTACTAACTTAAAGCCTAGGATGATATACCACAATCTAGGTGCTAATGCCCACAAGGAAAGCTGTATATAGAGTCTCAGTAGAAACTAGAAGTGCCTCCTGCTACGTATGTCAAACAGTTTTTGGAGTGATTTTTTTTTTTAATTCCATGTTTATGGATAAGGGTTGTGGACCCGAAAGAAATAGCACAGGGGTTATAAAAAAATAAAAGATACCTGTACATATGTCTTTATACAGACTTAAGAAATCTTGTGTAGGTTGAGTTTCAAGAAGGGTAGCTTCCAACACAAGGATGCATGTAGCTTCCGCTCTTATATCCATGACTACCTCTCTCCAGGTAGACTGTCGATGTCTGCTGCGGTCCCACTGTGTGCAAAAACCTTCCCAGCAGACATACTAGTGAAGGTGTGGATTCCCCCCACTAGATTTAGAGTTGACACTATTTGCGTTTTTCTTTCTGTGATGAAAGGGATATTTTTATATGGTTTAAATTTACCCTGCAATTTCTTGTGTCAATAATGACAACCACAAAGGTTTAATCAGGTTACCAGGGTATTTATAATAAATAGAAGTAAAAGTTCTTCAGAGAATTTAGGGTCTGTCTGGGAGAAAAAATACAGCTCTTCCGTAGCAACCACTGTCCACAGGTTGCCTGCCTTTGGCTGACCCGAGTATGGGCACCATTTTATTTTCTGCCCTTTTTTCCCCTGTGGACCCATGTGTGACCCAGTGTGGGGATGAGAGGGCAACCGTAGCTGTTGATCCACACATACCTTATACCGTGTTTGAAGCAGGGTCTCTTGTTGGTAACCACTATGTACGACAAACTAGCTGGTCCTCTAGCTTCTGAGGATCCTACTTCTGCTTCCCATCTTGCCTCGTGCACCCTACGATGATAGATCCTACCCCATCTGAGCTTGTGTGTGCTGGGCATTTAAACCGAGGCCCCTTTGTTCACATGGCAAGTGCCTCATTGCCTGATTGCCTACGGAGCCATTTCCTCAGCTCTGTCTGCATATTTTTGTTGGCAAGACAACAAAAAATTATGTAATTAAATGTTAGTTGTGCTTATTTTGGAAGCCGTTAGGGCAAATGGACAGCCTGGACATCAAAAATGCCAAGTAGAAACCTTGCGAAGCTCTAAGAAATTAATTGACCATTTCTGTTTGTGACAGCCCGACCCACTTTTGTAATCCAGCCGCAGAACACAGAGGTGCTGGTGGGCGAGAGCGTCACTTTGGAGTGCAGCGCCACCGGCCACCCTTTGCCACAGATCACCTGGACAAGAGGTGACCGGACGCCCTTACCGGTTGACCCTCGAGTGAATATCACTCCCTCTGGAGGACTGTATATACAGAATGTCGACCAGAGCGACAGTGGGGAGTACACGTGCTTTGCGTCCAACAGTGTGGACAGCATCCATGCCACGGCCTTCATCATTGTACAAGGTGAGCATCCTTTTGTGCCAGCAGGCTCTTGTCTTTGCGTAGCCGCAACAGCCCCCGGGGCTTTGGGCCTCTCTGTGCTACTTAATTTCCTCTTTCACTTATCTTTGCTTTTAGAGACAAGACTTTGACTTATCTTTCTAGCCTAGCCTGACCTTGAACTTTTAGTCCTCCTCTCCAGTGCTGGGATGAAGGTGTGCACCTCCATGCCTAGCTATTTGGATCTGTATATATGTGCATGCTTGTGTGAACATATATGCATATGTATATTTGTGTACGGGTGGCTGTACATCTATAAACCAGAGAACAATGTCAAACATCATTCTGGTTTGGAATTTTGGGTTGTTTTGTTTAAGACTAAGTTTCTCACTACCCTGGGAATCACCAAGTAGGCTAGGCTGGCTGACCAGGAAGCTTCATGGGCCCACTTCCGTAGCACCATGCTTTATGTGGCTTCTAGGAATTGAGCCATTTTCCCAGCTCTACCTTCCTTTTTAAGATCTATAGTATCCATCCAATTTGACCTGGCACACATGATTTGGTGGTTAGACTGTTTTCTTTAGGAGAATAGGACTTTGAGGTTGCAATGTCCAGAGCTCCCAGATATTGGCCTCTGCGAATGTGGACATGAATACCTGGGCACTGAAAGTGAATCAGGGCGTGCGATGCTCACAGCTCTGAGTGCGCTCCGAGGTTACGGTGCTAGTGAGTCAGTGTGTGAGCCTTGCATACAGTTTTGAATGTACTGGAGTTACAGTCGTATGTAAGCAGTATACACTGCCAAGGTCACAGTGGCCATGAGCCAGTATGAGCGCTCTGCGTACAGCTGTGTCTTTTCTTAGATTACAGAGCCATATGCACCTTGCATATAGCTGTAAATGCAGACCAAAGTACGGATATCACCAAAGTCCAACTTGTAGGCCAGTGTGTTTTATTGGGGTCATTTATAGGAATATGGGTGAACAAAAAAATAAATCAAAGTCAACTGTATCCCAATGCCCACCCAAGCATGGGTGACAGCTCACTAACGCAGGGAACTGGAGCATGCTGCACAGCCTGCAGACAGCTCAACAGGGTGGAGAGCATCCTTTTCAGCTGGCCCAGCTGTCTGAGCCTCGTCCAAGCAGCTCAGCGGTTTTTGATTTTTCTAGCCAAGCTTGACTGATCTCTGCTGCTTTGAGGCTGTTTAGTTGGTATCTGCTCCTTCCAGGTGGCTGGGACTGTCGGAGTGTCTTTTCTCAAGTGTTATTGTTTATATCGTCTTGAGGAAGAAGCCTAGTGAGTCTGGTTAGTTTTGGGGGACTTCCTGAAGCTCTTTTGAGTTGTTTACTTCCAGCCTTCACAAACTTCCCTGTAGTATTCTCCTTCCCTTTAGACGCCTCTTATGCTTAAAGTTTCCCTCCAAGATGGAAGGTTTTAATCTTGGAGGAACTGTGAAGACAGACACACTTGGGGACCCTTGTCAAGTCCTTTTGATGTGCTGCTAATAGACACAGTGACTTTACAGGGCGTTGTCTCTAGTGTCATGTGCAATGCTCTTTGCCTGCAGCCCTCCCTCAGTTCACTGTGACCCCTCAGAGCAGAGTGGTCATCGAAGGACAGACTGTGGACTTCCAGTGTGAAGCTAAGGGCTACCCGCAGCCCGTCATCGCCTGGACCAAGGGAGGTAAGATGTCACCCTGGACCATCCACCTTCTCGTTCATCTAGGACACGTGCTATTGCTTCTGGGTCAGGCAAAACCAGTATCTTTCCTAAGGGGTGAGCTGTGGCATTGGAAGAGGATGCGGCCTCCATAAAACCTGCCTTGCAGTGCAGCGTGGACGGTCACTATAGGCATCATGGATTGAAGCTGTCTTGCAGAAGGACTCAGAGTCTTCTGGGCAGTGGTTCACCATGTAGGTGAACTTTTCCAGGTCCCCGTAGAACTCACAAAAACAGGGTTTATCCCCTGACTGCCAGAGCCGTCCCACATTTCCTGCACTTGGTGTGTGATCTGTTAGCACTTGGTCAGTTCATGGCTCCTGTGGTCTGATGAAGGCTCATCGGGTTGGATGAGATGGTGGCAGTGTCAGGTGATAAGACCATTAAGGACACCTCTGCAGGTCTCGGGTGTTCCTGCCCTGCAGCCTAGGCAGGGACCCTGGAGATGACTTGTTACCTTGCCTTCAACCAAAAAGGCCACAGAATCCTCCCTCTGAGGAGCCCCTGCCCGTGGATCCTGAGAAACAGACAGAGGTAGAGGCCAGCTGTACACTCCTTGATTGACTAGGAAAGATACATGATGGAAAGGCTTACCCACAAAAGCATGTGCCAGCATCCTCCTCCTCCAAGACTTCTGCATAGTCTGGGCCTAGGTCACCTTTTTGTATGTTTCCTGAGGCATAGTTTTGGGTCAGCCCTACAGGCACCCTAAGTCCTTGTCTTGTCCCCATTCCTAATTTTAGCTTTTGGTTCTGTTCTCTGTCCCTCTCTATGATATTCCTTGGATATGATATTCCTTGGATATGATATTCCTTGGCTCTTTATTTACGGATGAACAGCAGCTGTAGGAGTCCGCATGTGGACGTTGAATAGCTGCCTGCTTACTGGATCAGGAGTGGGCATTTGGTACCCGATCCAGGAAATTCAGCCCAGTGACACTGCCATCTTCAGAGATATCATTCTCTCTAAGTCACCTGTCTCTGACCCTGACCCTGAAAGCCTCTGTATCCATGTAACTGATGTCTTGCCCCACTTTTGTAGGGAGCCAGCTCTCAGTGGACAGGCGGCACCTGGTGCTATCCTCAGGCACACTCAGGATCTCTGGGGTTGCCCTGCATGACCAGGGCCAGTATGAATGCCAGGCTGTCAACATCATCGGCTCACAGAAGGTCGTGGCCCACCTGACTGTACAGCCCAGAGGTAGGTGCTGTTGATTGGGTGGATCTGTGCGTGTCTGTCATCAGTGACACGCTTCCTGCAACTGACATCAGCATCAGTATTCTAGCCCTAGCTCTTCTGGTCACTCTTCTGTGGAGAAGTGTGGTCCTTGTGTTCATGAGGGATTCACGGGCACTTACATCTTCATTTCCCTTGTTCTAAAGACGTTTGTTCATCTCATGCTGGTCTGAAAGAGGCTGGATTTGTTAGCGAGCACATTCGGGCAGGCGGCTAGATGCAGCCTGAGGCTCTTGATGTCCGTGAGGCCCTTGGGGGTACCATGAACCCAGTTTTGTCTCTTAGACCTGTAATATCCACTGTGTATTTTGTGGATTGCCCCTCCTGTACTTGCTCAGGAGACTCAGTGTGCTCTGGCGGGGTTCCCCATGGTGGGATCCCACAATGGTGCCGCTGTCTCCTGGTAGTGTGTGTGGGATGAGGAACGTGGGCAGCCTGGCCGCAGTTTTTTACCTTAGCTAACAAGACCTCGATCCAACTCATTGCAGGGCTTCTGGGCTGGCCCCTGCAGGCTCTGCTCTTCTGACGCTCTGTGGTAGGAATCAGGGGCTGCCTCATTCTCTATACTTGCCTTCTAGTCACCCCAGTGTTTGCCAGCATTCCCAGCGACATGACTGTGGAGGTGGGCACCAATGTGCAGCTGCCATGTAGCTCCCAGGGTGAACCGGAGCCAGCCATCACCTGGAACAAGGTAAGAGTTGACTCCTCACCCAGGCCCTCTCTAGTGCAGGATGTGTGTATTTAAAGTACCCCAAAGGCAGCCTTAATAATAAAGATACTGGAAACAAAATACACATCCCAGCATCAGAAACAGACAAAGTCCTATAGGCCTATAGCTTCAAGGAATGAAGTTGAGTTTTGTTGCTTCATTTTTCTTTGTTCTTCGTATTTAGCCAACTGTTAGGCAGCATCCACATACTGCACACAAAGGAGCTTGCTGAGATGATGCAGCGACCTCACGAGGGTCCACAGAGTGCCAGTTTTCAAGGCTCTCTAGCTCCTTCGCTGCCCACCAACCTTCTCCAGAGTGACCCAGCTGTGGTCTGTGCATGGCTTGCCAGTTCTGTCTCTGAACTGCCCGCTCTCCTAGAGGCCCTGTTTCTCTGAGCCCTTTCTGCCATAGCTCATGGCCTCTAGGAAGTGCTCCCAATATAGCGGTTTTCATCTTTTGTGCATAGCTATGTTCTTAGCAAAGGACAGGTGTACAGAAGAGCTTATCTCGTTGAGTTGGACTTGGGAGAACAGTAATAAGTCTCCTTCCCTGGGAAGACTGGGACAGATGTAAACATAGCCTCAGAGATTTTTCCATTTGAGTTTTAACAGTGGATGGACATTTCTTTCTCCCAGAGAAGCAGCTTCTGTTTCCCAGTCTTACTTTAGTAATTCTTTTGCTTCAGGATGGTGTTCAGGTAACAGAAAGTGGGAAATTTCACATCAGCCCCGAAGGATTTTTAACCATCCATGATGTTGGCCCTGCGGACGCAGGTCGCTATGAATGTGTAGCTCGGAACACGATTGGATATGCCTCCGTCAGCATGGTACTCAGTGTGAACGGTAAGATGTTAGGCCAAGCACAGTGCATTGTCTCAGAGGGCTGTATCTTCATTCCATGAGCACCCACTTAGGGTGTGTGCTGGTTAGTTTTGGGTCGATGTGACATAATCTAGAATCACCTAGGAAAAATTTGTTCAGGGATTATCTAGATAGGGTTGGCGTGTTGACTATCTGTGGCGATTGTCTTGGTTGTTAATTAATGTAAAAGACCAAGCCCACTGTGGAAGGCACCATTCCCTGGAGGAGTAGTCTTGAACAGTATAAGAGACAAGAAAGAATGTATTTGTTTTTTCTCTGCTTTTGACTGGATATGATACTTTTAAGTTCTTGCCTGACTTCCTCAATAATGAACTATAACAGGGAACTGTAAGCCAAATCCATCTTTTCTTCCTAAGTAGCTTTTTGCCAGGATGTTTGTTCCAGCACCAGAAGTCAAATGAGGCCATGGTGTTAGAATGATTCAGAAGACAGAACGTTTGGCCCTGACTTGGCCAATGGCTGATCTTCCCTTGGAGTATCTTCCTCTGCCTGTATTTTTTTTTCCCCACAGTTTTCAGCAGCTCTTTTCATACCCAGTAGTGCCATTGACAATGATCCCTGCAGGAATTCCATGCCTTCCAGTTGGTTATGGCTACATGCAGCCTGGGATGTTTCTTGTACATGTGGACTGTCCTTCCCCAGGGTAGTAATTTGCCAGAGTGTCAAGATTTCACCTCCTCATCTTCCCCCACTGTCATTCTTCTCTCTGCCTGCCTTGCTTAGCTTTAGGGAAGAGGAGAACCAAGAACCCTGCTCAGACACAGCAAAGGAAAGAAACTGATGAGGGAGGTCTGGGGTCTGGAGCTCAGAGGATAAGTCAGGGCTGAGTATATTAACGCCCTGGGACTAGACGAGGTCCATCCCAGCCGGGGAGTTCATCCCAGCCATCCATCACCTGACCCAGGGGAAGAAGGTCCCCCCACAGCAACAAAGTGAAGGACCCTTTCAGTGAGGTTTCTCTGGCTGTGTCCAGGCCTGTGAGGATAGAAAGGAGCACTAACCACTGAGCTAAGATGAAAGTGCTATGGTAAGAGCTGAGAGTCGCTTCAGTGCCTGAGGGTGATAGAGTAGTTACAGTGGGAGTATTTGTACTTGGCAGAGAATGACTAGTTCTTATGAGGTGAGAAAGGAGCAAGAACTGAGAATCCCCCTGGACTTTGTGGTGCACACCTCTATTGCCAGCAGATGGGAGAGACAGGTAGAGCTCTGTGAGTTCAAGGTCTGTTTGGTCTACATAGGGAGATCTAGTCCTGCCAGAGTCTGACATATTTATCTATGTAGACATAGAAATATAGACAGATAGATGTAGATGTATAGATGTAGGTAGATAGGTATTAAGACCTTGTTTCAAAAAATAAAGAAGAATCAAAGTGTGAAGCTTTGATGGAGACAGGCTGTACTGTGTTACATTTGCTGTGTATTGTGTGTGTATCTCTGTGATGTGTATTATGGTGTAGGCTTATTCTGCGTGCTATGATGGTGTAATATAGTGTGATGTGTGGCCTATGTTTATTCTGTATGTGTGGGATGTGTATTATGTGTATGTGGTATGTGCAGGCCATCTGGGTATCTAGATGCTGATTTATTTTTGCTCTCTCTCTCTTTTTTCCCTCTCTCTCTCTCTCTCTCTCTCTCTCTCTCTCTCTCTCTGTGAGTGTGTGTGTGTGTGTGTGTGTGTGTATGTATGTCTGTCTGTCTGTCCTTCTGTCTGTGGTTCCTAATAAAGATGTTGTGATGATGCCCATGCAAGCAGGAGTTAGGACTGGCAATGGAGAGACAGTAAACAGTGGAGTCCAGAATTGGAGGTGCCTGTTCTTTGAGAAGAACAGAGACTTCTAGAATGAAGGCACCTCCTCTGATGACACTGTCCTCCAGATGGACCTGAGGAGCCTCAGTCTCTACAAACACCATGCTGGATATAAGCTCTTATATGCCTTGTGTTACAAATGTTTTGCCCCTTTTACAGGGCGTCATGTCATTTTCCAAAATTAAGGAGTATATTATTTCCATACTGTTTAAAAACAGCTTCTAGCAGAATTGATGATGAATAATTTGAGCCCTGGTTCAGCAAACAGAAATATCTTTTGGATGAAAGCATGACTTATGTCTAGATGATGTCGTGTCTAGACATGGATGTATGAGTAAGAATGCCATGTTTATTTTTTTCCTGCTAATATGAGTTCATGTTTTCCTAGTTCCCGATGTCAGTCGAAATGGAGATCCGTATGTCGCTACCTCTATTGTTGAAGCCATTGCAACCATTGACAGAGCCATCAACTCTACACGGACACATTTATTTGACAGGTATGGTGGGCAGGGCGGTGATGCTGGCCTTGGGTAGGGAAACAAGTGGTGTGGGGTGGAATGCATGTTTCCTAGTGCCTGGGTCTTTTACCTGTTTCACTCCCCAAACCTGACTGTAAAAGTCCTGAGAATTGTCCTGTGAAAACCATAAGGAGCGTCAGCTGACCCTGGCTCCCCTGGGGTTTGAGTGCTAGCAGGAGGTGTACCTTCTTCACAGGCTCTGGGCTGTGATTCACAATCAAAGCATTTGTAGAAGACCCGCCTCATTCTTTTGGCTTGTTAGAAACAATTTTGGCAAAAACAAAATGTTACTGAGGTGACCGGTGGATCCCTCCATGTTGGCACCGGCTACATACTCTCTGCACCTTCACTGAAATGCGATGCCTGTGACTCTCTCTCTTGACTTTATTAATGGTTTGTTTTCAGTGTCTTTGGTTCTTGTTTGTCTGTTTGTTGCTCTGTCGCCTTCCACCTGGGATGAGTAAGGTACAGTGCACCACGTTGTCGAAAGTAGCGATAGACATTTAGAGATATCAGTACACTTTTAGTTCCTGGATTTTGTCCCCCAGTGACTTATCTCATTGAGTCTCTCCCTCCCTCCCTCCTGCCAGCCGTCCTCATTCTCCAAACGACCTACTGGCCCTGTTCCGGTACCCACGGGACCCATACACAGTGGGACAAGCCAGGGCAGGAGAGATATTCGAGCGGACCCTGCAGCTGATCCAGGAGCATGTTCAGCATGGCTTGATGGTGGACTTGAACGGAACAAGTCAGTACCATGTTCTCCCACCTTCTCACGTAACCATGAGATAGAAAACACACTCCTGCATGTGCATTGCACTCTGGCCATGCCTGCATTAGTATCTGAGCCCACTTTTCCCTGAACTTGCGTAGGTTCTCGCATCTCTTTGGGTCTACTGGAGACGTTGACTAATGTAGGACCTGGTTGCCTAGGCTGTGGATGATTTATTTGCATCTTGCTGGGCTTGCTGTATGTTCTTCTTCCTATAGACCTAGTCGCTGTGTGAAGAGGAAGCTGTTGTTTCTGATTGCTTCTCCCAGCCTGGAATTCCTCATGCCCACTTGCTTGCTTGGATTATTGTATGGATATTTTGATGATCATCCTTTGTAAGAAGAGGCTCTCATGCAACCTTTAATGCATGTAGTCTGAGTCTCTAGGGCCAGAGATGGGCTAGAAATAATTTAATGAAAATATTCAGTGCTGACTTTGACCAGCAGAGAAAGAGAGAGAGAGAGAGAGAGAGAGAGAGAGAGAGAGAGAGAGGGGATATACATGTATGTATATACATATTATATGATTGAATATGTGCACATGTGGGAATGTCAATGTGCCAGTGGGTGAGCAAGTATCTCTATGAGCATATCTTGCACAGGGGCATGCCATATGTGTGTGCAGACAGCATTGTGAGTGTGCACATGTATGTGTGTAGTTATGAGAGTTCATGTGTGAGTGCACACATGAGTGTCAGTATGTGAGATGCTCTCAGGTGTGTGTACAGGTCTGTACATGCCCAGATGGCTTTTCTGAAGACTCTGGAATATTCTCCAGGGGAGGGATAGTGAGGAAGGTGATGGACAACCTTGGTGTAGGTGGAGTTTTCCCATCCTGGGAGCCGCTTCCAAATTATCACACAGAGGCTTATACTAATTGTAAATGTTTGGTCGATAGCTCAGGCTTTTTACTAACTAGTTCTTACATTTAAATTAACCCATTTCTATTAATCCATGAACCATGTGGCTCATGGCTTTACCTATCCTCTAGCGTGTCTTCCTTAGTCATCAGGTGGCCTCTCTCTTTCTCTCTCTCTCTCTCTCTTTCTCTCTCACTCTGCCCTTCTTTCCCCCAACATCCTCAGTCTGATTGCCCTGCCTGTAGTTTCTGCCTGGCTGCCAGCCAATCGGTGTTTTATGAACAGTGAACATAATCCACAACACCTTGGCTGTGCTAATGTCTGCAGGCAGCATTTGATCAATCTGAGCTCTGAGCACGGGATCCTGGGGTCATGTGGCTATGCAGTCATAGACACCTGGTAGAGGCATACTGCTGACTAACAAGGCCTGACCTCCTCCTGTAGCTGGTAGACAGTCCAAGGTTCTTAATCAGGAATCTAACCTAGTAGGAGCCTGCTCCTGGCTAGACAGGTTGGAGGATATATTGTGTGATGGATTCTGTGAAAATCAAGGCCAGTGCCTTGAACGGCGTCCTGGGGTGATGGTAGAGGTGTGGAGAAGGTCACAGGAGTCTGAGAAGCCTGCAGGAGGCCTCATACACGCTGCTGGTGGAAGTCAGTGCCACCCTGCTGTGTTACAGGTTACCACTACAACGATCTGGTGTCCCCGCAGTACCTGAGCCTTATTGCCAACCTGTCGGGCTGCACCGCCCACCGGCGCGTGAACAACTGCTCGGACATGTGCTTCCACCAGAAGTACAGGACGCATGACGGCACATGCAACAACCTGCAACACCCGATGTGGGGCGCCTCACTGACCGCCTTTGAGCGCCTGCTGAAGGCGGTGTACGAGAACGGCTTCAACACGCCTCGTGGCATCAACCCCCAGCGTCAGTACAATGGGCATGTGCTTCCCATGCCCCGCCTCGTGTCCACCACACTGATTGGGACAGAGGTGATCACCCCTGATGAGCAGTTTACACACATGTTGATGCAGTGGGGTCAGTTCCTTGACCACGACCTGGACTCTACAGTGGTGGCCCTGAGCCAGGCTCGGTTCTCCGATGGACAGCATTGCAGCAACGTGTGCAGCAATGACCCCCCGTGCTTCTCTGTCATGATTCCCCCCAATGACCCTCGTGTGCGGAGCGGGGCCCGCTGCATGTTCTTTGTGCGGTCGAGCCCCGTGTGTGGTAGTGGCATGACGTCCCTGCTCATGAACTCCGTGTACCCCCGAGAGCAGATCAACCAGCTCACTTCCTATATCGACGCGTCCAATGTGTACGGCAGCACAGACCACGAAGCCCGCAGCATCCGGGACCTGGCTAGCCACCGTGGCCTGCTGCGCCAGGGCATCGTGCAGAGGTCTGGCAAGCCTCTGCTTCCCTTTGCCACGGGGCCGCCCACCGAGTGCACGCGTGATGAGAATGAGAGCCCCATACCATGCTTTCTGGCTGGTGACCACCGTGCTAATGAGCAGCTGGGCCTGACCAGCATGCACACCCTGTGGTTCCGGGAGCACAACCGCATTGCAGCGGAACTGCTGAAGCTGAACCCACACTGGGATGGGGATACCGTCTACCACGAGACACGCAAGATAGTGGGGGCAGAGATACAGCACATTACCTACCGGCACTGGCTACCCAAGATCCTGGGAGAGGTGGGCATGAAGATGCTCGGCGAGTACCGGGGATACGATCCCAGTGTCAACGCTGGCATCTTTAACGCTTTTGCCACGGCAGCCTTCAGGTTTGGCCACACGCTGATCAACCCTCTGCTCTACCGGCTGGACGAGAACTTTGAGCCCATCCCACAGGGCCACGTGCCTCTCCACAAGGCCTTCTTCTCGCCGTTCCGGATCGTCAATGAGGGGGGCATTGACCCGCTGCTCCGAGGGCTGTTTGGAGTGGCCGGCAAGATGCGCATCCCCTCCCAGTTATTGAACACGGAGCTCACGGAGAGGCTCTTCTCCATGGCACACACAGTGGCCCTTGACCTGGCCGCCATCAACATCCAGCGAGGCAGGGACCATGGCATCCCACCTTACCATGACTACAGGGTCTACTGCAACTTGTCAGCGGCCTACACCTTTGAGGACCTGAAAAATGAAATCAAGAGCCCCGTGATCCGGGAGAAGCTGCAGAGGTGGGTAGTAAACTTTTAAAGATGTGTGGATGCCAAGTGGTTTTGGCTGTAAAGTGTGGTGTTACCATCTCTGGGTTTGAGTTTCTCAAGGTGGAGGCTGAGGTTAGATAGGGGGCGGCCGGCTGTCTGGAATGCCGCAGTGAACCGAGTGTTGTATAGAGTCATGTCTGCCAGCTTCTCTATGCTCGGGTGGTGGACTTTGTAAGCTGAAAGGAGTTTTCTGTTGAGATAGGAGTTGTGTCTATCTGGCTAGGAGAGATAAGAGTCCATGGGAAATGGACATCAGACTGGCCAGCCTCGTGGACTGGTCTAGGTCTGCAGCTCCCTATGCTTACTCAAGTCTGTGACCCCCACCTATAGTGGGGTCACACATCAGTTGCCATTGTACATAGAAGAGGAGAGCTGGACAACAAGCAGGCATGCTTCATGAGGAGGCGAATACTCCGTGACTCAGAGGATAGGCCCAGGTCTGCTCAGGATTGGGTTATCTCACCTAGGGCCAGGCTTCTTCTCAGACCTGCCTCCTGGGAGCTGTGCCGACCTGACGGTCCACAGGAAGGCTCTCTTTTGTGAGATACTGCGGTTTCTGAATGCGTGCTGCTCTGGCCCCTGGGCTCCAGTTCGTTTCCATAATAGTGTTCGATTACTGGCAGGGGAAGCATACGAGCCCCCCTGCAGGAACAGTGCATTTCTGTCACCGTCATGCTTTATTGGGAAGTATGTTCACTGACTGTGCTTCGTGAGCTTCGGTGTCCCCCTGTGTTCCCATCCAGATGGCCACAGATGACTTTCCCGGTCAGTTTTTGATTGCCAAAATATTTCAGAACTGCCTAGTGTCTGGTGATCCTGCCACTGCTGCTGGAGATGGTGAGCCCAGCCCTGCTGCAAGGGAGAGAGACCCCTGGCAAAGACCATGCTTACCTCCCCACCACACAGAATTACTCATTTATTTTTTCCTGTGAACCCATTACCAAGGGGAAAAAAATGAGACATAAACAGGAGGAGAGCTGAATGGCAGTGAAATCCAAGCTGTCATGGTTTTCAGCGGGCCGTGGGGAAATGCAGCTGCTGTCTACTGTCCTGGCAGCCTGTTGACATTTTGCATTTTGAGACAGCCTGGGGATGCATTCCGGCTTCTTTCTCTCCCTGATGTGTGCTCCATAACCTACACAGTCAGGGTCCCCAGGCCCCTGAGTGAGGGAGCTTTGTAGTGTCATGGAGACCATCCCCAGCAGGCCTGAAGTAGATATCCTCCAGCCCCTCCCCATCCCTTTATGAATGGCAGGTTGGAAGACAAGGAGCAGGGATCTGGGGAAGCACTGGCATTTGGTGCCTGTGTAGCAAGACCAGCAGCCCTCCAGGCTCCCACGTCAGGTGGCTTTGGTCCAGCGTGCTTGTCCCTGAACACCAGACAATGAGCGCAGTTTGGCTGGAATGTGCCAGCTTAAGTGAGGCACCTTTATCCACTCCCGAGATGGATGTCACTGCTAGATGCTAGATGGTAGCATGTTCCGCTGTCATTCCAAGCCTGGCGGGGAGGGAGCCAGGGACTGAAAGATGCTATTTCTAGCTGAATTTCTAGCAGTAGGTGGAGCCAAGACCACCTGCTGCCTGGCTGGAAAACTGAATGATTAGAAAAGGAAAATCTGTAGGCATTACCTTTTCTCTCTGTATGAGCCTATATTCCAGGAGCATGGAGGACTTGGTAAAAAATACTTTGTTAAGCATTTTCAAATATTTAAGCCTCACGTTAGATATCTATCCTAGCCAATTAAGCAGCATTTCCATTGGCAAATACATTTCAATATATGGGAGGGTTTAATCCTATTATTTTTGAATATGATTACCATTGTTCATATATTTAAAGAAGAAGATAGGTGTTGAAGGTAGGTGGATGTACCCCGTGGAGTTAGATGATTCTCTCTGGAGCATAGGAAAGAATGTTTTGATTTTCTTATCTATTTTTGATTTTTCAAATCACTTTTAAGTAAGTGTGTGTGTGTGTATGTGTGTATGTACACATGCATGTGCACGTGTGTAATAAAAAGAGGAAATTTTTAAAACTGTGATTAGATATGCTTTAAAGAAATGCTGGTGAGTTCTCTTTGTTCAGTAAAAGTCTGGAGAATTGCTGTGCTTCATACCCCAGGCGGCTATGCTGGACAGACCTGACTTGCTCCTTGCCTATTGCAGGCTGTATGGCTCAACTCTCAACATTGACCTGTTCCCGGCCCTCATGGTAGAAGACCTGGTCCCCGGCAGCCGCTTGGGACCTACACTCATGTGCCTGCTCAGCACACAGTTCCGACGCCTGCGGGATGGAGACAGGTGCGTGCTGGAGAGCCTTGCCTTACGTGGTTGTTCTGGACTCAGGACAGATGACAGTGAGGACCCCTCCCTGCTGGCTGCCCTTCCAGCAGCTCTGTACCTCCTGTAGACTGCCCGGGCTAGCATACCTGAGTCCCAGATGCTCTTGGTCTCTAAAGTCAACGAGAACATGAATGTTTCCAGGAGCCTTTTGACTGTTCGTGGCAGTACTTGGGAGGACTAGAATATTGTTGTTTGTTTCGTTTGCATTTTTGAGATGATCCCAGTGTATAGCTCAGGCCGGCCTCGCTCACGGCAAGGGTTTAGTTAGAAGTTTAGCCGTCCATCATGTTTGAAAAGTAGTCCATCTTCTTCTTGCTATTCAGATGGACTACTGTACTCTTTCTGCTATGCCGGGGCTTTTGGCTTTTCTCACATTGATTGCGTGAGAATTCACGCAATGTTCATCGAATCAGTGAATCCTGTGTTGGCATAACATTCTTACCTTGGATCCCGCGGTCCAGCAGCCTCCCTGCCTGCCGCTGACCCTCCTGACTCTGTTGTCATCTCTGGAGAACAGGTTGTGGTACGAGAACCCAGGCGTGTTCTCCCCCGCTCAGCTGACGCAGCTCAAGCAGACGTCCTTGGCTAGGATCCTTTGTGATAACTCAGACAACATCACCCGGGTGCAGCAGGACGTGTTCAGGGTGGCAGAGTTCCCCCATGGCTATAGCAGCTGTGAGGACATCCCCAGGGTGGACCTGCGCGTGTGGCAGGATTGCTGTGAAGGTAGGTGCTGCCTGCCCCATGCCCTCACCGTCTCCCGTGACTGCCGCTCGGCACGAGAATGGGAGTACAGCCTCTGGCTCCTAGGATGGTAATGATTTATGGTGGCTTTGCTTAGTGATTTCACGGCTGGGAGATAAATGTCAAGGAGTCTTAGCATGAAGGCACCATGTAGTGTTGAGCCTAGGCTATACAGGTCAGTAGCTCCACCCACATTGACTCTGGATGAACTGAGGAGACGTGGAGGCACCCAAGGCTATAGCGTTGCTTTCCTACCTTAAATAGCCGTACACTAAATTGCTGATAAAAGATCAACATGGTTGATGCACACACCAGCCACTGAGCCCTGTGTGATTCAAACACCATGCCCTTAAGGTCACTTTTCATCCTACTGCAAGTGCCTTACGTTTATTGATGGCATTGTCACCACGGATACCTGAGTTAAGATGTCAGTAGAACTAACTTTGCAGCTTCATTTTTATCCTAGGCTGCACTGTAGTCTGATAGCTAAAAATACTATGTAAAAGGACACGAAACTTGACAGTGTGTCCTGATTGCATGTCTAACATTGAACCGACTGTATAGCGGCACCCGAGTGCTTGTGTTTCAGTCACATGACTCACAGCCCAACAGTGAGAAATAGCTCCTCCGGGAAGTGTGAGGGTCTTGATGTTGGGACTGGACAGCCTCATAAGGAGGTCTGCACAGTGCATTCCCGTCAGCCTGGGGGCTGACTCCCTGCCGTGTCCGTCCTCCTTGTGCTCAGGGCCACCATCACCACAGCTGTAGCAGCCACTGGCTCCCTGTGGTGACGGTTCCGCTGTCTCTTTCCCACTCTGCATTCTTGAGTTCCTCTCTTGGTTAACCTCAGTTTCCAGTTTCTAATTTGAGTGCAATTTTGGCTTTATTCAAACTATGATCAGAACCCCGTAAATAATAAAGCGGGGGATTATTTACAAGCTAAGCTTGGTGACGTATGTGTGTTTGTGGTGAGAAGAGGACTCAGAAGGATGGATGCTCCAGCCCCACATGGAGCAGCACACTGGGTCCTCAGCCCTGCCCTACACCTTGGAGACCCCGAAGAAGGGGGGCTTGGAAAGAGCACACAGAGCTCAGCACTATGAGTGTCACTCTCTTATTTTTCTCCTACTGTAGTCACTCAAGATCAGTATTGAAATTAGGTTGACTTTTGAAGCTGCATTTAACATCCTAAGAGCATGTATTATGAGGGTGAGACTGTATCTGTTTGTGAATGTGTGTGATTGTGTGATTTGTCCAATCTGCCTTTCCCCCACCCCTGTATGTATGTATGTATGTATGTATGTATGTATGTATCTATCTATCTATCTATCTATCTATCTATCTATCGAGAGAGAGTTATTAAGGAGTCACATAAAGGACATTGTGCTTACTGCTGCATACCTAATCCTCAGTGACTGCTGTTCTTGTGATCATAGAGTGAGAACTTGAATCACTTTTGCTTCTTTTTCTTTTAAACTCTCACAGTTTTTTCCAGTTTAAATACTTCCCTGCAAGGATGGCAGAGGATTTCGTTATGTCTGTAGGACCCTGTTGCCTTGAAAATGCTGGGCAGGGCCAATTTTTATTTTTCAGATACAGAGCCTCTCTTTTCTGATACCATGACTAGGTCCCCTCCTGCTGCAGAGTGGAGCCAGCCTTCACTCCTTTGCATATGTAATATAGTCACAGTCTCAGAAGAGGCTGTCTCCAAGGCAGGCCTTGTCTTGGCCTCTGCCCCCATTCTATTCCATTGTCCCAGGTGCTCAGTGCCCCAAGTTCTTGCTGACATCGGTTCTTCCCAATACTGGGCCTTTTACAATAGCAGGCTTGATCTAACCCCAGAAGAGCTTCAAGATTCTAAATGTACTGGTTTCTGTTTGAGCTCAAATCCATTTCTAAATCCCACAGGGGAAAAAAAAGTTGGTTCTGTTAACATTTTTTTGGATGTGTGTGTGCATGGTGTGTGCTTACATAATCTGTGTATGTTTGCATGTGTGCGGGCACACATGTGTATGGGTGCAGTTGGCATGTAGAGGCTAGAGATTGACATCTAGTGTCTTGGGTTTTTTGCTGAGCCCAGAGCTTGGCAATTCAGCTTGTCTAGCTGGCCAGCTTTCTCTAGGGATTCCAACTCCACTCTTTCTGCTTGCTCAGCAAGTGCTTTATTTACTGAGCCATCTCCCTAGACACAAAAGTTTTTCTAAATGAGCCCAGAAAGCTGCAGGTTTTTTGTTACCATGCTCCTAAATTATTTACTTAAATATAATTGGAACTGGGAAATTAGCATAAATAAAATTCTTACCTAATTTTTGGATCCTGTTTGAACTCTACTATGTTCCCAATGATGTTAGCTCATGACAGGTTCCACCTTATTTAAATTTACCTGAATGTTCCCAGATTCCTGTATCCAATAAGAGTCTGTCTGTCTCTGGTCCTTTTGGTAGGTTTCCCTCCGTATGGGTTTGGCTGACCTTTTCCTGAAGGCTAAGTGCAGCATTGGAACATAACTGGAGTACGAATGATGTTCCTCCTGGTGCACCATAGCAGGAATCAGAGGTCATAAGTTTGTCCTGTGGCCAGTGACAGTGATTCAAGTTACTTATTTCAAATGTTTGCCTAGATACTGTGGTTTGCCTAGATAGTGTGGGGAGGGTTACAAACATGTGGTTTTAGTTAGAATCTAAATATTCTCCTCCTTTGCACCAAACTCTTCCTCCTATTGTGCAAGGCCCCGGGTGGAGAACCATTCCTAGGCAGGATGGGGGTTCCAGAGAAGGTTCAGGTTTGGAGCACAGGTCTCCTGTATACACAGAACTTTCCACACATTGCTATGGTTTGGTACATTTGCTTTGTGAACGTGGCTACTTTCATAGCAGCAGTGGGTGTGGGGTTGTGCTAGTGCCAAGGTGCATGCAACTGACGCAGGGCAGGCAGAGAAGTGCAGCCTAGCTCTGCTCTGTGCCTGACGGAGAGTTGGAACATCGTGGCAAATGTGGTGACTCTGGATTCCCAGAATGCATGTGTCATTTTCAGATGAGAGCCACTGGGCACAGCTCATTCCCATGAGGCCCACCCTGCTTTGTTCTTGTTCTCAAATGATCTAGGGTAAGGCTTTCTGATGGAGAATCATCCTTGCTCTCTTCCGGAATATTCAGCCTTGTCTGGCCTGGCTTCGGTTTTCAGGAAAGCTTGGTGAAAGAGGTTCCTGCGAAGACGGGGGAGTACAGGGAGTAGACATGGCTGTGCAAAGCTAAGCTGCTGTGGATCTGGTTTATGTCCTTGGAGCCACCTGAGAAGCCACATTTTCCACTCCAGGGCAAATTTAATCCTCCCAGCTTAACTCGGGTCAGATAATGATGTGTGATAACAAGTTCCAGGTTACTTAGGAACTGTTCCGGGGTCAGGAGCAATGGCTTGATTCAGCTGAAACACTTCCTTCAATTTCCAGCCATGGACATCAGGATCTAGATACTCTCATCCAGAGGCAGACAGTCACATGACCTCTGCTTAATTAATACTCCTTTGCCTTAGTGACGTAGACTGTCCGCTTCAGGAGGGTCACAGGACCTAGAATTTGGAAGAGACTGCCTTTGGGCTTTGTGTTCTTCTGGACAAGGCTATTCTTAGGGGAGAAAGGAGACATAAGATAAGTGTAAAGATGGGTGGCTTTAATGAATAATGTAGGCGGGGCTTAGGTGAGAGAGAATAGGGTTCCTCCCCACCTCTGGAGCTTGGGATGAGGCCTCTACCAGGGCAGGGAAGGGCTTGGAAATTACCTGGACTTGTTGCAGGCTGATTTGGGCTGATAATGAGATCTCAGGGGCAGGGTACCATTTGACAAGGGCAAGAAGACTTAGATGGAGCAGACTTAGACCATAATTTAGAGTGCCCCAAATCTCCCTGTGTGGGATGCAGGAGGGTACACTGATCAATCAGCTAGGGTGCAGGGTGGTTTGCCCTCAGGGAGATTTACTGTAGCTCTTAGCAGGTTTAAGTGCTGAACCCAATACCACAGAGGACTGACAGACCCACTCTTAGCCCCATGAGTGCTTTTAGGCACTGTCTGGAATAACACATGTCCTCCCCGAAGCGGGAGGGGAGATAATGTGTGATAAAAATAGCTACTACTTGACAAGATGTAAATTTATTTTGATTAGAATCATCTGTAACTGATTGCCCTTTCCTGCTTTTTCACCAGACTGCAGGACCAGGGGACAGTTCAATGCCTTCTCCTACCATTTCCGTGGTAGACGATCCCTAGAATTCAGCTATGAGGAGGATAAGCCCACCAGGAGAGCAAGGCGCCAGAAGGCACTAAAGTGAGTTTTGGTGGTATCTGGAAGATGTCCTGGCCACTGTGGGTCTCCGCAGCAGGCTCAGGCGGTTGTTTCTGAGCTCAGCGTAGCCTGGGCTGGCTGAGGCAGAGGTGTTCCAGAGTACAGGAAGACAAGTCCTGTGCCCTGCCTGACAGTGCTGAGCTGCAATGTGCTAGGCCAGGCACCCAGCAGAGGGATGGATGCGTTTAGGAATGTTAGCTTAGGCCTGCGCACTGACACTCTGAATCTTCTCCTTATCCCTTAGTGTGAAATATGGCAAACATCTTAGTAATGCCACGTCAGCCTCCCATGACCCCTTGGAAGGGCCGGCAACCAATGATCTAAAGACGCTTATTCTGGAAATGCAGACGGTCATCACAGACCTCAGAAAGCAGGTAAGGCTGGCCTGAGCCGCTGCCATCTTCACCAGCTTGAACCTTTCACCAGCCCACCTTTGGCCCAGGGGTTCCCAGAGGCCTTGCATTTCTGGGTGATCATGTAAATGCTGACTTTGCTCTCACCTGCTGGGGACTGGTTGCTTGTGTAGCTTGCTTTCCTCTGGCTTGCTCCTTACTGGGCTGCATAGGATTCATGTCCTCATCTTTCTCTGTGGATTAGTGTGCTAGGTCCTTCTTTCTTTTATTGCTGTGCTTAAACACCATGACCAAGACAACTTATAGAAGAGTTTCTTTTTGCGTAGTTTCAGAAAGTTAGAGACCATGGTTGTGGCTGAAGGCACCAGGGCTAGGAAGCTGAGGACTCACATCTTAAACAGAAGCTTGAATCAGAGAGAGGAAAGTAGCAATGGCGCAGGGCTTTGACACCTCAGACTTCATCCCCAGTTATGTACTCTTCCAACCATACCTCCTAAGCCTGGCCACCACACCTGGGGCACTTGGTAGTGGGCAGTCAATGTCTCTAAATGTGGGGCCTCCCAGGGAATATGGCTGAGAGGATACAACCGGAATGGGTACAAAGTCCCAGCAGACTCAGGCATAGCCAGATGGAGAGGGGTAGGAGAAGACAGACTTGAATTCCTGCCGGTAAGCCACTTCTTCAGGGAGGGTTTGGAAGAGACGGTGCTAGGAGCCTGTCAGTGATGGCGGACTCACCAAGGCTGCAGGGCAGGGTGCCAGGGCTACACACTACAGCCCTGATAAATTCCTCTCCTGTGTGTAAGGATCTTTGTTCTTCTCCACGGCTCTTTGTTCAATTACCAAAGGTCTTGTTTCAAAGAGAGTGGCGTCTGGAACCTCAGGCTAGACAGAGGAGGTCTGTTCACTTGACAGTAAAGAGCGTAAGTGCGCGGACCTAGATATGGGCCAGAGGAGTGTCCTGGTGGTGTGGAGTGTGTCCAGGAGGGAGTCTGGCATTGGTGCCTGGTTTGTGGGATTCCTGGGTCTGGCTCTGTTCCTACCCCAAGGGTACTCAGGTGATAGACTTAGGGGGAGACTCATGTAACCCAAATTCCACCATTTCTCTGACAGCTGCTCCCAGTCTTTTTTTTTTTCCTTTCTAAAGCACCAGAGTGAGCGTTGCTGGGGACCCCGGGCTCTGGTGGAGAAGCTGAGACCAACCCAAGGAACCCTCAGGATTCTGATGGGAACAGGTGTCCTTCAGACCCATGGTTGGTCTAGGTAGACCATATAGACTTCATGTCCATGGTATTTGCATTCTCCCTAGAGTCACAGGGGCAGGATTTCTTGGCTCAAGGAGCCAGCAGACCTGATGATAGAGAATGTCCTCTGTCCAGATAGTTGGGGCAATTTTGGTCCTGGCCTGTCGTCTCTACATGACCTGGGCTGCTGCCTGTGGGTCATCAATGCTGATAGCCATCCAGATCATAGTCACCTCCGTCCTCGGCTTATCTGGGCTTTGAGTGAACGCAGAGTCAGCCAGTGATGCCCAGGTTACTCCCCACTTCCTAAGGATGCGGGTCCATCCTTTAGTTTTCTTCACGGCCTCAAGTAGGAATGTCGAGGGTTAACTAAAATGTAAGTCATGCTAGTGCGTTATTCCTACAGAAAAGTTGGCTTTGATTTGTTTAGAAATGCCGAAGCACATCTTATTGTGGACAGCTCTTTGGCTAGCTAAATTCTAACTGGCATTTAGGCCGTTGGGAGTAGAGTCATCCTAATACAAAGACAGCAGGGCAATCTTAGTACCAAGAGCACAGAGTTGCACAAGGTTCTGTGTTCTGCTTCTGTGTGAACTGGCGACCTCATGCTTAGTAGGTAGGATGGGGAAGCAGGAGAGGCTGGGGTTGAAATCCACATGGGAAGTAGACTGGTTTAAAATGCTGTGGCTCCTCTCCCTTGTTGTAAAGCGGAAAGCCTCTCCTCAGCTCAGCATGGCTGTTGAGGCTCACTCTGACGCCCTGCTCTGTGCCCTGCCGCAGATAACCAGCCTGGAGTCTCGGCTCAGCACCACGGAGTGTGTGGATGATGGTGGCGAATCCCACAGCAACAACTCGAAGTGGAAAAAAGACACGTGCACAGTTTGTGAGTGCAAAGTGAGTCTGGGGTTGGTTCTGTGTTCATGCCCTTGACATCTGGAAAGAGGGTGGTCCAGGTATCAGAGTGAGGTCCTGCTGGCCCTGATCCCTAGCCCTGCTTTCCCCTCAGAAGCTGGAGAGAACACTTGAGGGCATTTGGGTGACCCAACCAGCTTCTAATGGTGTACAGGAAATATCCACACACCCGAGAACCTGAGAACGCCACAGCTCGTGCCCCTTCCTCCCAGAGCTGGCTGTCCTGTTCACCCCCTTATCCTCGCTGTCTCTGCCCTGGTCTGGCCTGGGATATTAGTTGCAGAGAATGCTAAGGGGAAGAGGTGACATGTAGGCCAGGGCTCCCCTTGGTTATGAACAGAGGTTCCCCTGCAGCCCTGGTAGGAGGACACTTAGAACAGAGAGAGAAGGCAGGACAACAGGAACGAGGGCCAATCCAGATCCCCTCTTAAGGGACAGGGTTCATCCTTTTGCCAGAACAGTGCAGGGTCCTCCAAGCACCCCTGGGTTGCCTGGCTAGTGAGGACTAAGCTAGGGGAGGGAGGACTCTTTGCAGAGATGAGCATTTATTTCTCTCGGGATGAAGTGGGAGATTGGGGGTGGGACAGCTTGGTCCTTTGATCCTGGACCCCACAGTGTAGGGTTAGAAGGCAATGGGAAAAGGAGAAGGTTTGCAATCCTCACCCCAGGGATGCATTTGTAGCTAAAAAACTCCAAGACTGTTGTCTTCAGTCCCCATCGCAGGAGACGGAAGCCGAGCACAGGGACTCTAGGTAGGGGATGAGGGCAAGAAGCATGGGGCACCATACTGGGGTTGGGGTCATGTGGATCATGCCTAGGAGAAGAGCCAAGAGTGACAAGGATATTTCTCCCTCCTTCAGAATGGTCAGGTCACCTGCTTTGTGGAAGCTTGTCCGCCTGCAGCCTGCCCAGAGCCTGTGAAACTGGAAGGTGCTTGCTGTCCCGTCTGCCTAGGAAACACCGCAGGCGAGAAACCGTAGTGGTCGTGAGCTGAGCACCTCGAAGCTGGTCCACAGAGTCCTTGTGAGCTTAGATGGCAACGTGGGGGGCTGCGGATCACCGGACAAGTTGGAACCCCAGATCTTTCAGGACCCCCACTGTGTCACCCCCGAAGCAGCCCATGCTATGTTTGCAGAAGGAAATTGAGTAGGCAGGAGTTGGGTGCAGGAGTGTCTCTGGTCCTCACTTCATGTTAGACTTCTCAGGTTTTTATTTAATTATTTTTAAATGAAAAAAAAATTTGGTGCTACTATTAAATCGCAGTTAAGACATGTAGGTTCCTAATATGTTTCTGTCTGAGGATGCCACTTCTGTTTAATGAGGCAGGAAGCCTTTGACATTTTGACAGGCTTCATTTAAACAGAAACTTTTTTTTTTTTTAGGCAAAAGGGGGAAATTTAGTGGCATTTCAATTGTAGTTTAATAAATAGGAACACAGGAACTCTAGGGCTTCCTCCTGCCACCCCCTCTTGTCTGCTGTCTTTACCCCCCACCTCCAGGGCTCTTCAGCGTCTGACCACAATACCAATACAATCCTGCATCTTGGGACCATGCCAGCCCTTTGACCCAGGACTGGCATCACAGTATTACGCCACATTTAGAAATGATCTTGTGTCCACTTGGAACGTGTGTAAATACTGCCTTGCTGGAAACCGAATGTGAAATCCTTTGGTCCCATGCCATATCCAGTGACCCGAACAGCCCCTTACATCGGCGCAATGATGTACAGCCACCGCCTGCCATGGTTTCTGACTGTAGTGGAGGGAGAGTTGGTTCACTTCTCACCCCTGCCATAGGTGACAGGCAGGCAGAGCCTGAATGCCTGAGATCACGTTGTATGAATGCTTTAAAGGAAAAAAAAATCCCTATACCTCATTTTTTTATTGCATGATGTTTTATAAAAATTTCCCATTTTAGATGTTAGAAAAATTATCTCCACTATGCAAAATATGTTTTTTAATTCAGTGGAAAGCAACTATTATACCTCATAGTCTCTTGTTTTTAATTGAACAAAATGATCCATTCTATTCTCACAAGGTTCTGAGGTCTCTCCCCTGAACAAACACTGATATACCCAGCACTGTGTGCCATCCATGTGTGTACATCAAGAGGGTCACCTGCCCAAGGTCTAGGGAGGAAGACCTCAAGGACATAGACTAGTCAGTGCCAGTTTGAGAAGGGCAAAATGGGTGTCATTATAAGGAGTCCATGGTCAGATCAGGCAATGGTCAATTCCTCGCAGCCTCTGGCTTGTGTTGAACAGTAAGGCCATTTTGGTACAGTCTATGGGTGATCCTTATGCTGATATGATTAGCTTCCTAGAGACAGACAGAGCCACATGTGTAAGGCTGCTGAGCGAAGACAGCATCCTAGCATGGGCGCATTCACCGTGGACTCACCACGTTGCCTTTCCCTCCTGTTGCTAATGATATTCAGAAGCCAGTGGTCCAGCACGCATGGGCATTTGTGTAATATTAAGTTGAGCTCAGTGATGAGATCTCAGAATAGACTTCCGTGAAGTAGGAGACAGAACCGTGCCATGGGAGATCTGATGGCCGTGTAGTTGCTCAGGCATAGATCGAAGTGGCAGGAGAGCCTGTCCTGGGTAGCTGGTATTTCACATGAGCCCTGGGGTGTCTTGTACCAAGGCATACAAGTGCACGGGGTTCTTAGACAGGTGTCAAGGGTCTTTGTCCTCTGATCCTGTGAAGAAAACTGGCTGTGATTCATAGTAATTTCTGTCATTCAAACCAAGATGTCTCCAGATCTCCATGTTGATGTTACAGCGTCCCTGGCCAGGCAGTGGGCAGTGCCCAGACACCCTTCCCTATGAGCTGCTGCACTGGGCTTCTGAGATACAAAGCAGTGTACATATTTATTTCCTTTTCTGACTGTTGCCAACAGCCAAATGCCATTTTATGTTCCTTGTATTCAATACATTACCAAAGAGGTGTTCGCACTTTGTAATGGCACCCTTTCAGTTCAAATAAAAGGGCCACGTTGTCAAGTGGAGAATCTGTTCTTTTTACTTGGAGGCAAATAAGAACTTGCTTGCTGAAGGGCGTGGAAGTATGAGGAAGGGACCCAGGCCTACACAAAAAACCAGAGCTATGCTGTGAGCCATAAAAAGAAAAGGAAGAGGGGTGTGTGGTTAAGAGGGAGATACTTCCTTCTGAGATAAGGCAGGCACCTTAGCCAGACTGATGTCATGTGGGTTCTGCCCCTGGGACAAGCCGCCTGAATTTCCATGTGGACCAGTAGGTTCCTTTTTCAGAAAATACACAGTGCCTTTTGGCCCTCTGAGGGTACAGAGTGGGTGGGTAACCTCTGTTCTCCCCAGAACAGGAATAAAGATCATACTAGTCCCACGGTACCACCCATGTTTAACGTTTTTCCATGTGTTTGTGCTCGTGTGTGGCCTTCAGTCTGGCCACGGTGACCTGGATGGCAGGTTTGGGACAGATTCTGCTCTGAAAGAAGCAGAAAATGGACCCTGGTTTTACAGAGCCTGGAGAAGATCGTGACTGTTCGCGTGACTTTCGTGCAAAAGAAGATGCAATGTTAAGGAGCCAGTGCATTACATTTGTGTATGTTTCTGTGTGTGCATGTTCAGCGGTCAGAGAAAGGTGTGTTCTATGATCACTGCCCACCTTAGTTTTTGAGACAGGGTCTCTGTCATAAAAGGTGGAACTCACCAGTTAGGCTAGACTCACTGGCCGACAAGCCCCAGAGACCCTCCTGCCTCCTAGCGTTTCCCACAGTTGCTGAGGATCCGAACTCGGGTTCTCATGCTTATGTGGCAAGCACTTTGAGCTCCCTCCCAACACTGGGCACGAAGCTTTTTAAGTTGACAGATCATTTCAGAAATTCGATGAGAAACGTGAGTGCTTCTCGAATGTGACTCACTGTGGGAGAGGATGCGTGGGATTCTGTGCTGCCGTGTTCCCATGGGACAGCTTTCCCGCACCTACACCACAGCCTGACAGACTCTTCATGAGGTCATGAGCTCAAAACTGACTTTTGCAGCCACAGCGAATCCCATGAAAATCTCAGCTTCCCCCCAAGAATGGTAGAATGGTAGACGTAGCGTGACTAGACCTCCACTCTGCTTAAGCTTTCTGCCAAAACTGATGAACTACAAGTGAGGCAGACAGATCTCAGAAGGCCACCTAGACCCATTGTTGACAGAGTCTGTGAGCAAAGTGAGACCTGGCCCTATGTGGTGACTGGCCAGTCAGTCCCAGGTTTTCCTTTAACACCCTGCTGATGGACAGGGACCCCGAGCAAACATTATGTTTTTCCTTCTTCAGTGTGGAGTGTGTCTTGCTTTTTGACTAGAACCATCCCAGCATCTGTATTCACATCACAGTTATTCTCCTAGTGCGGTGTCTCAAGAGACAAATGCACTTGCCTCTGAGCCTGACAGCCCAAGTTAATCCCTGACCCTTGGGAGCTACGTGGTGGAAGGAGAGAATGGACTCCCAAGTCCTCTGACCTACACCGACAACCCTCAACACACACACCAAATCCTATATGTCTAAAAGTTGTTAACATCCTAACCCAGACCAGGACTTCAGGGGTGGGCAGCAGAAGTGAATTCAGAAGTTTGCGGAAGTACTGTCACAGCTGGTTTGCTGTTTGGGGAATTTGTTAAAAGCAGCTCTGTTACTGTAATGTCTGGCTTTCTTTATTCAGACAAGTGGGACAGCAGAGGAAGGAAGTTGAGGTTAAAACCCCAAAACCTCCTCAGACTTTCCCCATCATATCCTAAAAGTCTCTTCAAGTTGATAAAGACCATGAAGCTGTTTCTCCTCTTTGTTCTGAACGTACCCTGTGATCCCCTTGACTGCAGAAAGCCATGTGGTAGGTGCAGCTATATTATTGGGGGCTGTGTTGCTGAGGAGAGATGTGGGTTTTGAGCATCTTCATCCCATTATGGCTGTTTAAACACTAACAATAAGTTGATTTGTAGATGTCAGGAGAGGGTAAGTGACAGAATTCGTATTTTATTACTCTTTCTAATGTTGAGCATAAGTACCATGGCAAACTTTATTTTTCAGTGTGTTTTACATAAAGCCAATTTTATTTATTCTTATTAACCCACAGTTACAAGACCCCCCCCCATCTCACCAGCCCAGAAATATAACCTCTGACATCATTGTTCTATGTCTTCTAAACCATCTGCATCTTAGTGTTCTATTGTTTTGTCTGTGCTTAACCAAACCAGGCAGGATCCACACACTGAAGAGGAGATGCCTGAAGCTGTTTCAGAGGAGATCCCTGGAAAACATCATGTTTGTGTTCCTTAAAAATGACCACATCAGGAATCATCGCAGATGGAGCTGCTAGTCATCATTGTTGTAACGATGACTCAGAGCTCACCAGGGGAGGAGGGGACAGGATGTGGTGCCTGTGGCCTCCAAGGGCACTGTGCAGCCCGGCCTTTAGATTTCCACAGAAGTCCCAGGGCTGCTGTCATAGGACTCTGCCTCCTTTACTTCTGCCTTACGGGGCAGAGCTTTCCTGTACGTCAGGAGTACCCAGACTGACCCTCAGGCCTGCCTCGCGGGCCCCGAAACCAATCCTTTCTTCATTCCACCAGATTTAGAGAAACAGCACATCCATATTTGAGAAAGACGGGTTCATTGTGCACCCTAATCATACTGTAGGTCTGGATATACTTGCAGAGTTTCCCGGGCGTGCCTCAGGTGTAAAAGGACAAATCTGTGATCTTGAGAAATGTTGACGATCCCTGTTCTCTTCGAGTGAGTACTCACGGCATTGAAGTCAGACAAACGAAACAAAACAAAACTCCCCTGTCTCGCTCAGAGCAGCTTATCATCGCCCAAGTCCCACAGAGGCCAGCGCTGTTCCTACGAGGCTACACCCTGAATCCAAGTCATCTTCACTTGCCCCGCCTCCTTCGCCAGGACCGCCTCCGTCTCCTGTGGCACCTCCTAGAGTCTCCCCAAACTCTAGTCTTAGTTATACACCTTGTTATGCCGTGTTCAGTTGATACATGGGGAAGCCTGATCTTTCCTGAAGGGAAACAGGAGCAGTGAGGAGAAGGGAGGTGGGAGGAGGTGGGGGTGGGGAGGAGGGGAGGGAGCAGAGGCTGCAGTTGGAATGTATTGTATGAGAATTAAAAAGGGAAAAGAATCTCCACCGACTGCAGCTGCTGGACTTCAAAGCTCAATGCCTTCACTTGAAGGCTGATCTTAGCAGAGACTTTTTTTTCCCCTCTTTCTTTCCAACGTGTCTACAGACTTGAGGTTTGGATAAGTTCCACCTCTGTTAATTACCATTGGAACTCAGACTATAAAATCTATCAGAACCTCAATTTCTTCATCTATAATTATCTAACTTGTAAGATTTTTTTTTGAATTAAGCAAGGTAAATCTGGTGGGAAAGAGAGGAGTGTGGGTATGTTTACTACCAGAGCCAGTCTTGAACAGCCTTGTAGTGCTCTGTCTGCCGACCAGCAGAGACAGAACTCAGCCTCTGTGTTTGGGGTTCTGAGAGTCAAGTGGTGTTCTCTGTAATGTTAATTAGAAACCTGGCCCTTTAGATAAAAACCCACGGATTCTCCATCCTGTGAACTCTAGATGAAGGTGTCTTTGTTCTGGTGTAGAGGAAACCAAAGCCTGGACCAGTGCACCTGCTCCTCATCTATCTGGACTGTTGACATGAACAGGAAGCAGAGTGTCCTACATTTGGAGATGGGTTGAAAAGGGTGTTCAAAGTTAGAAATGACTAGCCACCTAGGTAGCCCTTCTTTAGGTGCTTACTCAGCAAACAGTAACCAGTTCATAGCCAAGGGTCCATGCTAGACGCTAAATGTGAGCAGGCATACCTAAAACAGACGTAGACTAAATAGATGTCCCAGCAAAGACTACCAGATGCCAACTAAATGGGCTAGAAACAGTCTAGAGGCAGACTATGGACTAACTATTGACTGCTCTCTATAGAGACACACTGGACATAGAGTGGGTAGAGGTGGAACACACAGTCGGATATAGACTAGATGGATTACCAGTCGGATATAGACTAGATGGGTTCCCTATAAACAGCCTATGTGTAGACTGAATATGGAACAGATACAAATAGGCTGAAAGTGAACTAGCTGCAGACTGGACTGCTTTGCCTTTTCAGCTCCATGGGATGAAGATGGTGAGGAGCCAGCTGTGGAATGGACAGGATCTCCCTGGAGTTTACCTTAGAAGTCAAAGAACTTGCTACTAGTGAAGGCAGAGGGAAGGGCTGCGGTAGCAATACATACATATAGGAGGCATCTCCATTCCAAGTGAAGGAGCACCAAGGCAGGGAAGCTGCAGGTTAGCAGGGTGAGGTTTCCTTAGCATTGACCGCGCTAGTTCCCTGGTGGACACCTTAGAAAGCTTACACTAGGAAAGTAGTGTGGTGTTGCCCACAGTGGCAGCCTCATGCCAAAGTAGGAGCTAGATTCTCTACAATGCATAGCCGGAGAGCTTTATTTCCCCCACCTCCCTGGCCCTAGATGGGGGAGCGGTCAGGAGCTGTGGGGCAAGAAGACTAAGCAGTCAGGATGACATGATAGTGTCTGGTGGAACCCAGGAAGGATGGAGAGAAGACCCGTGTGAGCCAAAGGAGCGGAAGTGGGAAAGGACATGTAACTGAGATGGACAGCTATGCCGCTGGAGTAGGTAAGCAGCCCCTCCAGCTGCTGTAAGGACCATGTGATGAGCGAGCCATTGCAAGTCCTCCAGGTGCCTCGTGTTTATTTGCTGGAAAGATCACAGCAGCATGGCGCACAGTGATGTGCAGGTGCACACACACTACAGCCGTGCGCCCTTCAGACTTTAAGTGTGTTTGGAAGCTGGGTGTTACTGTTAGGGCTGTGCCTACCTTCAGTGCTTTCAGTGCTATCAGTGCCAAAGTGGTCTCACCCAGGATACCTCGGAAACTCCTCTTTGTGTGGCTCCCCATTCTTCCTGTTAATTACCTGACCATTTCAAGAACATTTCTCCCCATTGTTA